CGGGGTTTTTAAAAAAGGGTTTCAGGGGCATTTATGATTGTGCCAATAGAACATAAACGTGCATAGGAAGCAGTCCAATTTACAGCATTGCAACTAACCCAACAGGATGCCCATCTAGGCTTAAAAAGAAGGAACTGGATGGATAATCCCTTTGTTATTTGCTACGAATCATAACTTATTTCAGGGTAGTTCTGGATTAAGCAGGACCTTTATATTCATGAACTGAGATTTGGACCAAATGTCAATATATACAAAGCAGAGAGCATTCCTTTCGCTCTCTTTCTCTGGAGATCCAGCTGAATGGTTTAGATCCCCCGCTCAAATATATGCACTTATTACAAAATGTATGTTAATTTTGTTCTGAAAGGATTTGTATAATATATTCAAACTATTTCTGGAGAATGTATGTGCATTGTTCATTGCACTCAGTTTATTCAGAAGCAGTCGCCCGAAAGCTAATAATGGATTTGGATTTGGAAATTAGCAGCAGTTACCAGTTAGCTGAGGTCAGACTCAGCATGATTTAAAGTGGATTTGACTCCTTAGCTATGCCTTTATTATATGCTGGAATAAATTCCTTTACCTGCTGCTGTAGGATATTTTAGAGCATCTCTAAGTAGCACATGAAACATGGCAAATGTTTTGGCACCCTCAATTTTCCAACTCACTAATTCAGTAAAGCATTGCAGGCACTGGACTTGCGGGTATAAAAAAGAGTTACAACTCTTCCATTACATGACAGCTGGTGCCAGGTGGCATGGCTGCCGCATTAATGTTGCCAAATGCCAATTTTGTCACAGTAACAACAGAGAGTTTCCTGACTGTTGCATTTCCTTGCTTTAGTCATGCTAGATCTTTATTGTTCCTGACTGATGGCTGTCAAACATGAGAACAGACGTAGCAGAGAGAGTCTTCTCATCCTTTAACCAACAAGACTAAAATAGTCCCCTAAAATAAATTATGCATAAAAACCTTGGTTGTTATATAATAAATATGGTTGATAAATACAGTGTGTGTTTTCCTAACGAATATGTTTTTTTCCCCTATTTTGGGGAAAATTACAAATAACTATTTTATTTATATCCTGACTATGTCCCAGAATGGGAAGCAAGATGGTTAAACAGCGCTTTTTCAGTACAGATTGAGTTTCCCTTATCTGAAATGCTCTGCATTTTGGACCCTTCCCCCCATATTTTGAAGAATATTTAGATATCTTGGAGATGGGACTCAAGTGTAAACACAAAAATTATATATATGTGTCTCATGTACACCCTATTCACATAGCATGAAGGTAATGTTTTAGAACATTTTAAATAATTTTTATATGAAACAAAGTTTGTGTACACTGAACCATCAGAAAGCAAAGAGGTGGTTTCACTCTGGAAAATATGGTTTGAACCCCCATTCATCCTTGGAAAACCATTGATGACCTGGGTTGTTGTCCATGTTCTAGAGGCATTCTCTCCTGACTTTTCGCCTGCATCTATGGCAAGCATCCTCAGAGGTAGTGAGGTCTGTTGGAACTAGGAAATTGGGTTTATATATCCTAGTTCCAACAGACCTCACTACCTCTGAGGATGCTTGCCATAGATGCAGGCGAAACATCAGGAGATAATGCCTTTAGAACATGGCCATATAGCCCGAAAAAACCTACAACAACCCAGTGATTCCGGCCATGAAAGACTTCGACAATACATTGATGACCTGTTACTTGTTTTTTGTAACGGGGTAGTAATACACTCCTTGGACTTGCTGCACCTGCTCATGATTGTTTAACTCTCCACAACAGATGTCATAAAATAGGAAGAATGTGTGCAGCCTAGATATAAAAACACATACTATGGATCAGAACAGAAATCCTTCTTTAAAACACTGTCACACAGACAATGAGCCAAAGCCAACATTCTGCTGGTGGAACATTCATCTTTTTCTCCTTTTCTCAGCATTCCCTGAAAACCAGTTCTGGGAAGTTTTCCCATCCTCCTGAGCTGGTTTTGGGACACACAGAAAAGAGGGATCCCTGCAGCTGGGAGAACTCTCAGTTCCACCAAAGAACCTTCTATGGATATCTCCTGTAGACCACTTTATTTGTTTTTTACATAAAGAAAGCTCAACATTCATCCACTTCCATGCAGTGTGACATCAGCTGTTATAGTCATCAATGGGCAATTTAAATTATATCCATGTTTAAGGGAACGGCCCCTGCAATAATATCACAAATGGCTCTGATCACTGTTCATAAGTAGATTTATAATTGCTCTCTACTTTATGGAATAGATGTAGTCTGCAAAGAAATCGTTTTGGGAATGGTTTTATATGGAAGCTTGTAAAGTTAAAAGCAATCTCTTGACACCAGCACATATTGAAATGGTAATAGCAAACTCCCTATGAATAGATTTAAATAAATACTGTCTCCATTTATACTCTTATTTCTTTTGAGGCTGATGCCTGGTTTTCATAATTCCATAAAACTTAGTAGGGTAGTCTCAAGTGTTTTCTTTTCCGAAGAAAAACACACGATATTCAATTTCTCACTATCCTGTAATGTCAAAGCAAACTATTTCTGCACTCATTTTGTAACCTTATACCCATGCCATTCACTGCAATGTACTACAATCAGCTGCAAGCTTTATTTCATAGCATAATGTAATAGGGGGAAGGAACATCTTTTGCAGGCCACCTACTAAATCTTTTGGCTCAATATATAAAAAATCTGTCCAAGGTCTGTTTGAAAACTTTCTGCCCCAAAAGATATGCCCTTCCATTTCTGAAGTATTCTTTTAAGATGTTTCTCCTAACGTTCTGCCAAAACCTATCTACTGTAACTTATACTCTTTACATCTAGTCCTACGGCAGCAAAGAACATATCTACACCATCTTAATATGACAGTCCTTCAGCAATTTGAAGGGCTCTGTCATGCACCTGCTCAACCTTCTTTTCTGCCAGCTAAATATGCCCAGTTCTGTGTTGTAGGTTTTTCGGGCTGTATGGCCGTGTTCTAGAAGCATTCTCTCCTGACGTTTCACCTGCATCTGTGGCAGGCATCCTCAGAGGTTTGGTCGCGTCAGGAGTGACTTGAGAAACTGCAAGTTGCTTCTGGTGTGAGAGAATTGGCCGTCTGCAAGGACATTGCCCAGGAGACACCCAGATGTTTTGACGTTTTATCATCCTTGTGGGAGGCTTCTCTCATGTCCCCGGATGAGGAGCTAGAGCTGATAGAGGGAGCTCATCCACGCTCTCCCTGGATTCGAACCTATGACCTGTTGGTCTTCAGTCTTGCCAGCACAGGGGTTTAACCCACTGCACCACCGGGGGCTCCATCCTCTGAGGATGCCTGCCACATATGCAGGTGAAACATCAGGAAAGAATGCTTCTAGAACATGACCATACAGTCTGAAAAACCTACAACAGCCCAGTGATTCCGGCAATGAAAGCCTTCGACAATACAATGCCCAGTTATTTCAAGCATTCTTTATCAGACTTACATTTCCATACCTCTGTCCCTCTTCACTGCCTACCTCTGAACCCGTCAACGCCCCTTTCAAAGTATGATGCCCAGAATTTAACACAAGAATCTAGATTAATTTTGACATGTGCATAATAAAATGGGACTATTTGTTGTTATGATTCACAAGCATTGATATGTGTCTGTTCTGCTAGCCATCTTGTAGCCACATCACTGATTCATTTTTGACTTGTGACTGTCCACAAGTCTTAGGTCTAGCAGAACAGACACATATCAACAGAATCATTGCTTGTGAATCCTCACAAAAAATAGTTCAATTTCATTCTGCATGCATCAGAATTCATCTAGATTTCTGTGTCAAATTCTAGGCACATACTGCAACCAAAGCATATATTCTCCTTTCCAGAGCTGTGTGTTTAGTCGATATTATTATAACTAAATTTTGCATTTGTATTTTTCATTTTCATTCAATTTTGTTTGTCTCCAGATTTTTATTTCCCTACTATTTTGGTTACCGTTTTATACTATTGGCCTTATATTATTATCTTTTGAGTGATAAAATATTCCATCTAGTTTTGTCTCACCTGTCAAGTTGATAAGGATTCCCTCATCCCTTCATCTAAGCCACAGATAAAAATGTTGACGTAAAAACCCCAAAACATTGACAAGAATCAGGCACAGGTACCATTCAGAATTTCACTTTGGTTTGATGAAAAACCAGTGATGAACACTTCTTCAAGTACAGTTTTCCAATCAGCTGGGTTTGCACTTCATGATGTTATGATTAGCTTGCTTGCTAATCAAAACGTCATGTAAAACTTTTTTCACATGCCTTACCGAACAAAGATGAAGTACTTCCATAGCATTTTCATAATCCATTAAGCTAGTAACCCAATCATAAAGAGAATTAAGATTAATCTGGGAGTTGCAATAGTGCATACTATTCAATGAACTATCACCGAGATGCATACATTTTGAAAAGTTTTATCAGCTGTTCTAGAATGGAAGTTAGGCTTATAGTTAAATCAAGCTGTTGGGTCCCCTCTTTCTTAAAAAAACAACAACCGGAAACTGGGACACATTTGGTAATTCCTGGTTTTCTAGCATCTCACCCATTCTCCAGGATTATTCACTGAAAGAATGCTACAGAATACAATGCTAATAAAATGGTGTCTTGCTCCAGTGTCAACACTGATTATTATGGGATGCTCTCTTCTTGCTGAAGGTTAAATTGGTTTAATCACTGGAGCTCTCACACAATACATATTAGGGTTAGTTCTGACTGTGGCATTCAGTGCAGAAACTGCAAAGTTCACCAACAAGTTACCACAAGGCTGGGATTGATTGCATGAAGGCTTGCATATCATTACCATAACAAATAGAAGCAGAAGACCAGGAAGGAAACCAGGCATGAACCAGGACACCAAGAATGAACACTTAACAATTACACCGCGCCCCCTCCCCACCTCTGTCCTTTACCTTCAAAGAATTAACACACATTAAGATAATGCAGGTGAGCAAGTGAGCATAAGATTTCACTATTGTAAATTTATTTGTAAATCAGGCATGAAGTGTTTTTACACCTTCACTAGCTGCCACGGTGCCATTATAGAATGGAAAGAGCATAAATAATAGTATCAACATAGCATTCCAAGCAACGAAACTTCAAATCCTCGTAGATACAATTGCTTAGTTGCGTCCCAGAGGCTAAGATGGCCTCATTTAAAGAAAGCACCATAGTCACCATCTAAGCACCCCCTGTATACACTCAAAAGTAGAAGTCAATGGTTGACTTAAATCACGAATATTTCCTAGTGTCTAACAACTGATTTACTATTCAGTGAAGTACCAGTTCAAATCTTGATCACTGTGGTACAATCTTATAATAGAAAATGGTTTGTTTGGAGTTTTTTTTGCTTTGTTTTGTATTTTTTGCTTTGTTTTGTCAATTTTTTGCACACAAGAAGTCACTTGTGGCACACACGGTTCATACGATTAAAGTTCTGTTTTTCTTTCAACACACCCCTTTTTTGAAAATGGAAGAATCACAGAATTTTCTTGAAACCAATTGTCTATATGTACATAGGTATGAGCGTCACATATCTTTTTGCACATTGTGGTAGAAACATGTCATTTTGAAACCTCTATTGTAATACAACGCCTTAATTAGGAGAAACAAAGTTTGTACACCTTTTCACAGTTCTTCTGTATGGGTGAGCCAAATGAGCTATGGATTTGGCTTTCAATCTATTAATCCTGCTTAGAATATATATTTAAAAAACTTAATTTTACACCTGTTTCACATGAAAGTATAATAAATAAGCAATTATTACTTAATATCTGTATTATGTAGCAAGTCCCTGATCTGCATCAAACACCACAACAGACATAATAGAAGGTTTACTGTTCCCAGGAAAGGAAAGCAGTGACCACAAGCAGAAGAATTTTGAAATAAGACATTCATCTTGTTGACAATTCTTTTACCATAGTGCAACACTTTATAGAGTGAGAATAGTCCTCCTGAATGCAGTGGCAATAAAAGCCCAACTATCAAAGAATTGCTCTTCTCAAATATTCTCTGCTTCAGTCGTGAAGAAAAAAATGAATAAAGGAGGAGAAGTTAATTTTTAGAGCCCTTAACAGGTCTGCCTTCTATTACAATAAAGTAAGGCCCCAAGAAGATGATTATCACAACCATCTGTGAATGGAACTAGAGAATATGCTACATGCTTTATATAGAGGTAAGTCAGACTGAAAGCCATTCACTTCCCTAGAACAGCTTAGGAGTTGACTATATGATAAGCTACTAGGGAGAAAAATCAGGACCCATCCTCAAACAGAAGGAAAAATAAGGAATATTTTCAACTGAAATTCATCTGTTTTGATTTTTTTAAAGGATTGTGTTTTGCTTTGTGTTTCCATACTGATTTGATTCTGTGTTGGTCTTTATCTCTGTTGTCACAATATTGTTCATTGAAGACTGTGATAGGAAAACAAAGTTCTTTCTGGTGTGACATTTAACCAGATTTGCTGTGTTTGGCAGAACTTACTTTTGTCAGCTCTCATTGTTACTGTCCCATACACCCTGCTTTTGAGATCACCCTGTACCTTTTCCAGTGGAGTCTGTTTTGTGTTTGCAGCACCGTGGCTCTTCGTGCCTTTTGCTCTTCCTTTAGAGAAATAAGGTTTTTCAGCAATAAGGACTTGATTCTGTTACAGCCACAAACAAGCTTTTGCTGTAAAGAATAGCTAGAAAACACTGCTGTGTGTGCCGTAAAAAGACACCTTTCTGGAGTCCAGTGGATAAATCCAGTTACCCACACTGAAGAGTCCAAAATGCACACAAAAATAAAGAATAAAATCTCCTAAATCCCCAAGAGGCATCTTTGGAATCAATAGTGCAAAGTAGTTTTGCCAATTTATTTCATCCAATTGCAAATATAGATCTCCATCTTCAAGTCTTTCCTAAGATAGTTGACCTGCAAAGTAAAAACGTGAGAACAATTTTTTTTTAGAAAGAGTGAAAACAAATGAGGCATATAATTATTCAGAATTAGAAGGTTCATACTCGATATGTCTGCATCAAGCAGATGGCTGGCTATACCAAACACCCAAAGGGGAAAACAAAAGCCAAGGGGAAGCTCAAGCTAGAAAAAATGGGTCAGTTCCAGGTTCAAGAGAAGGCAGCATATGGGTAACTACGCCATAAAGACACAAGATGAAGTGTAATGGTTGGCAGATCAAAACTTAAGAGAAATCTGTCACTTTTCATGTAACTGTTTTGCTGTGTATGTTAACTGCCCTCAAGTCAACCTCCACTTATGGTAATTTCGTGAATGAGACACATCCAAGACATCCTATCCTCAACAGCCCTGCTCAGGTCTTGCAGACTCAGGTCCATGGCATCCTTGGTTGAGTTTATCTATCTCAGTGGTTCTCAACCTGTGGTTCTCTCCTACAACTCCCAGAAATCCCAGCCAGTTTACTAGCTGCTAGGGTTTCTGGGAGTTGAAGGCCAAAACATCTGGGGACCCACAGGTTGAGAACCACTGATCTGCTTTGTGGTCCTCCTTTCTTTCTTGTGCTCTCCAATTTACCAAGTATTATTGTCTTTTCTAGTAAGTCATATCTTCTCTTATGACATAAAGTACAACATGTCATCATGTTTATCAGGAAGAGTTCAGGCTTGATCTGCTCCAGAACCCATTTGTTTGTCTATCCAAAGAACTCTCTTCCACATAAAAATCAAATCAAAGGGATGGTCTTTTCTCTGTCAGCTTTCTATGCCATCCAGCTCTCGCACCCATACATAGTGATGGGAAATAGGGTGGCATGGACAATCCTAATTTTAGTGCTCAGTTGTATATCTTTGAACTTGAAGATCTTGTGTAGTTCTTTCATAATGGCCCTTCCCATTAATAGACTTCTTGTGATTTCTTGACTGAAATCCACATTCTGATCAATGACTGATTCAAGGTAGGGGAATTTTTAACGATTTCAATTACCCCATCATCTACATTGTTTTACTACATTCTATACCTATAGGACACAAGAAAATGCATGTTTCAGTCATTTCCCTCCATGTATCATAAGGAAGTGACAAAAAACAAAGCAAAAAATGTACTCTGGCAGTGTTTTCCATCAGCCTCAAAATCCTTTCCAGTATAGCAGCAGGAAGGGACTTCACAATAAAGTCTTCTATACATTTTATCCTTCATCATGTATTTGTGATGTGATATTACAGAAGCTCTATTATAGTCTGTGTCCTTTTTTGTAAAGCCATGCTAAGTAAAATGAGGGTTATGTATAATGACTGAGCAACAAATAAAATATTTGGTGGAGAGTGAATTTATACATAGATTATGATTGCTTGAAGAAGGGGGAAATTGTATTGGTTGAATTATATGGTGAGATTGACACTGGAACAGAAATGAGATTTTGAAGAAGACATGATGGGAGGTGTGAACAGCTACACTGTAGAATTAATGCAGTTTGATATAATTTTAACTGCTGTGTCTCAGTGCTATGGAATTGTGAGATTTGTAGTTTTGGTCAGGATTATTTGGTCAGGAAGGCTGAGGATCTTGTAAAACTACAACTCCCACAATTCCATAACATTGAACCAGGTCTAAGGTAGTGTCAAACTGCATTAATTCTACAGTGTAGATACAGCCTATGTGTACTGAAGATTACGTGGGATTTGTGTGAAGAAAAAGAGAGAGATTGTGTGAAGTAAAACAGTTTGTTTGGTTAAGAAATAGATTGGTAGGATTGGTGGCAGAGTCATCCATGGCTGGGTAAAGAGGCATTCTGTGCCATCTCGAGAGCAAAATAGAAACAAGCAGTGAAAATGAACCAATAAAGACAATTCGATACATTTTTCTTGGTTTTGAAAGGAGGAGGAAGCGGTAGAGAACCTAATGAGCAAGAAATAAATCTTCAAAAGGATAAGATAAGTCTAAGATTTATGAATGCCAACGGATTAAATTAATTGTTAAATATAACCATGCTACTGTGTGGCGCAGTGGGTTAAAGCACTGTGTGGCACAGTGGGTTAAAGCACTGAGCTGCTGAGCTTGTTGATCGAAAGGTCGCAGGTTCGATTCCGGGGAGCGGCGTGAGCTTCCGCTGTCAGCCCTAGCTTCTGCCAACCTAGCAGTTTGAAAACATGCAAATGTGAGTAGATCAATAGGTACCGCTCCAGCGGGAAGGTAACGGCACTCCATGTAGTCATGCCGGCCACATGACCTTGGAGGTGTCTATGGACAACGCTGGCTCTTTGGCTTAGAAATGGAGATGAGCACCACACCCCAGAGTCAGACATGACTGGACTTAATGTCAGGAGACTACCTTTACTGTGCTAAAGCAAGGCAATGTAAAGTAGTGGCCTGAGGACTGATGCAAGTCCACATGCCATTTAGTCCCTAAAGAAAGAAACTTTTGTGGCCAATGATTACAATATGGTTTTGGTCCCTGGCATGTTGGGAAAAAAATGTTTGCCTGCTACATCAATCATTTTAAGCACTGTGCAATAAGATAGCACTAAGTGCTACTATAAATTATTAATTATATCAAAGTCTAGTGCCTAGTCACTATTATAGAATTACTTCACTACTACACCTAGTAGATTAATCATAGAATTGCCAGTAGTGAAGTAAAAGCTTAGATTTATACATGGATGCACTAAGCAGTGGACTAAATAATCCTAAATTAATCTACTAGGTGTTTTTCTCCCTTCTGTTTTGATTGAAATGCAATTTTCTGAGCCATTTCAACTTCAGGCAGTATCATAGGAGAACAGAAGCACATTCATGGTGGGAAATGGTTCCCTTAGGTATATTTATGCTCTGGAAGTGCTAACACTCTGAACATGAAGATGAGGTTCCCAGAGATGTTTAGAGGCCTGTGTCCCTAACAAGCATGGCAACAAAGGCCACCATGTGACATTTTCACATAAACTATCGCCTGATCTTTGTAGTTCCATGTAATTTTAGGTGGGACAAACAGAATGAGGCAATGCTCTTCAAAACTGTAAATTTCTTTCTACACCCCGATTCAACCAATTACTACTCTCAAACTTGCACACCATAAATGAAGTAATAATACCTCAAAGTTTTCCACCTCTCTTTTTCAGTTTGGTTTTCTGGACTTTCACTTTCATAGGATGCCAGATACAAGCCTAAAAAGAAAAGAAAGGGTGTGGGGGACAAGATAGGTTAGTGAAGCTACATCAGCTTCTCAGAGGTTAGCATTTGAAAGAAATAAACAATAAAAAACAATATGAATCTTCTGCATATTCCATTTATCAGCACTGCAGGATCCCTAATACAGAATTTCTCCTTCAGTACATTCAACACATCATGGTTCCCACCATCCACAGCTTCAATTTTTTTAAATCCAAAGGCAAAGTTGGATTTTCCATTTTATTTAATAACCATTTTTACTTTACCATTGGATGTAATGGGATATGTTCTGCACAGATTTTGATATCCACAGGGTTCCTGGAACTAAACGTCAGCAGATATCAAGGGTCAACTGGAGGTTGTGGTAATTGACCCCCTCATGATGGAAGCAGTATCCCCTTTGGACAACAATGTAGGAAGTCCACAATTTTGGGTGAAAGGGCTGGATGTGGTGTTGCAACCCAGTCTCTGGCAACAGCCAAAGAATTCTGACATGGTGGAGAAGGGCCAGGTCATTACCAGATAGACATGCCGCATTATCACGGGGTGTCTGCGCCCCACACCACTGGAGAAATTACACTGCTTAGCCGGTATTGCACCACCTGACATCCGCCGGGAAGTAGCAGCCAATAGTGAAAGGACCAAGGCAGAGACATCTCCAGCTCATCCCCTGTTTGGGTATCAGCCAGCACGTCAACGACTTAAATTAAGACATAGTTTTCTTAGATCTACAGAGACACTCGCTGGAACACCCCAGCAAGCGAGAGTCTAAAAGTGGCAGGCCCAAACCCAGCACCTCAATTCATGGGTGATACCAGATGAAGACTCCCCCCTGGGCACTCAGAAGACTGGGTGACTTGGAAGGCGCTGAACAGATTGTGCTCTGGCACCACGAGATGCAGAGCCAATTTTAAGAAATGGGGCTACAGGGTGGAATCCTCGGCATGCGAGTGCGGAGAAGAACAAACCACTGACCACCTGCTGCAATGCACCCTGAGCCCTGCCACATGCACGATGGAGGACCTTCTTGCGGCAACCCCAGAGGCACTCCAAGTGGCCAGATACTGGTCAAAGGACATTTAACCAAATACCAAATTTACAAAATCTGTGTGGTTTTTTTTCTTTCTTTTTTTTCTTTTTCTTTTTAATCTCTGTGTTTGTTTTGCTCTGTTAGAATTGTAATACAATGGTTGCTGATGACACGATAAATAAATATTACCAGATGCAGAGGTTCCAGCCAAGAGCTCTTGGGGATTGTAGATTTAACTCACTTTGCCTATGTTCCCATACTCAATGTCAGACCCTGAAAGCCTAGTACAAAGGATGCATCCTTGTGGGGTTGTGGGCACCACCCACCCTGGACTCAATTATGGGAGCATAATTTAAGTAATTTAGATTACTTTTTCTCTGCATATCGAGTGTAGTTTAAATTACTTAAATGATGCTCCTAACTGGGCATCTTTCTAAATACACTGATCTAGGGGAGTTGTAGCACTGTGAGAGCTACTGTAACTTGTTCTTGAATGTTTCTTATGAGAGTTCATTGTAACTGCTGCGATTGTTATTGTTGCTTTGACTACTTCTACTATGGGATAGAGGCTGAGGATCATTATTTTGGCCACAGCCTCAATTTGTGTGTGGCCAGTGGAAGTTCTAGCTGTCTGGTGTGATTACCATGGAAGAGTTTTAAAGGCTTCCCCTCAAACATTCAAAATTCAAAAACAGTGTCAGAGTCAGTCGAGCCTATGGGCATCTATAGACAAAGCTAATTCGGCCCTGATCCCTGGCGTGATGAAAATGAGATATGACGGAATTAACCCATTACAAAAAAGATACAGGGCAACACAATACACTGGAAGGATAGGAAGTGAATGGCAGTCAGAAACTCATTTACAAATGGGCTGACAGGGGTTTTACCCCCTCCATCCCAATTCCTTCTGTCAAGCACAGTTTAGATAGTATGCATAACTTTCTGCTGAGACCTTGGCTCTGCTTTCCCTGCCTACAGATATCATAAACCTTATGTGCAGAGACTCATTGCTTCCCCCTCAAAATGCTTTCATCCGCAGCATGATTGACATTCATGACAGCCCCTCACAGGATGTCTATTCCTCTGTGGGTATTGCAAAGATGATTTGCTGCAAGGATATTGCTTGGTTGAAAAGTTATGGGAAACAGAAAGGCTCAGATGGTTATTCTTATAATAGCTTATGGGAGATGATATGAGTTGGTGCGAGGAAATTTCTTGAAAACTACATTTTCAGGCTAGAGCTGCAGAGCGATGTTATTCTCATGCCACCATAGCTTTAATCGAACAGAACTTTCTTACCGTCTTCAGTGAAGATGGGTGCAGTATGTAAATAATGGATGATGTTATCATCTCGTTCAAATGGGCATTCCACTTGTTTCCATGTTATAAATTCTCCTACTTGCTTTGCCAGTTCAAGGAATTTCTGTAGAGAGTTTCAAAAAGGAACATCAAGGTCAAAAGAAATTGAAATTATTACTACAGCTCCACTATTCCCCAAAAGTGCTAGCTTGCACTGATGTATTATGGGTGGATATATGTGAGTGACATTTCTTTTCAGCACAGGTCTCACCCTGCCTTCATTTCTAATGCACTTAATACAAATGATAGTAGAATGTGAGATGTGAAATGCCCTGACCAATATACTGGGTGGGGATGTTGTGGAGACGGGCGTTCTTCCACCTGCCATTGCACCTGGGGGGGCTCCTTCTTCCCAGGAGTCCCCTGTGCCAGGAATGTTTTTTGCTGCATGGCCAGCTGACCAATCATTGGTGGGTTCTGCCCCATCCCGACTGGCTGGGTCTGGCTGCTGGGGGATCAACTGACTGTGCCGGGCCACTCCCCGCCAGTTTATCCTGGGTCTGGTTTTGGATGTAAGTGCCTCTTTTTATTGTTGGATCTCAGACCATTTGAAAAACCTCCTAAAGAAGAGTGAGACATTAGAGTATGCTCTAGGATAAGACTTGGTGTCTGGTGGGTCCCATGTCAGTGATGAATCTGCTCTAGGAGTTAAAGTAGCTCTCCAAGGTGCTGAAACCTGTCCCTCAAATAAATGCAGTATTTTGGAGATGTTCAGAGTAGAATGCCTGGTCATTTGACTTGGAAGCTACCAGCTGCCCCTGCTACATCCTGAAGTAGCCAAGTGCATTGAAAGCAGGTGACTAAGAAAGAAGTGGTAATGGCAGGATTCTGCTGAGGGATCCATAAAATCCTTGACATGAGCACAAAGCCCTTCAACATGTGAGGACAGGTTTTTGACTTCATCCCCTTGAACTACACCATGACTTTTTCAAGAGGACACTCTAACTTCTCAATCTTTTTTGGTTTTTCAAATGGTCCAGGTTAACAATAAGAATGGGTTGTGGAAAATGTCATAATCATGTCAGTGGTAGCAGGGTGGATCTCTCTGTAAGTCGGTGAACAATCCACTCTGGATTTTACTCTAAGCTTTAAAGAAGCCACCCAAGGCTCTCAACCATTTTAAAAAGAAATTTGGCTTTTTTTGATAGCTCAATTAAAGCCCAGAGTGAATTCACTACTCCATTGATATGGACAGTTGCTACTGGTAGATGTGGGGCTTGCCATATGGTTCTTTAGAGGTGTCTTTAAGAAAGAAAACAATATATGAAGCATCAGCACAGCTTCTTCATATAAACTACACTGAGACCCCCATATCTGTTGCACCCATACCTGTAGTTTCACTTTCCTGCACTTGGGAAAAATGGTCTTCCTAGGCATTTTCTAGGTCCTCCAGATTAGTCAATGGTATGCTTCCCTTTGAACTTACCATAGAGCTGTGTTGAAGGACCAAGGAAATTCCTAAAGGATATTTCCCTAGGAACTTATCTCAGGACCCCAGAGAGATACTTCTTTAGGAATGTCTTTAGGACTTCCAATGCAACTCTATGACCATATCCACAGTTTCACATAACCACAATTTGGCTGGGAATGCATCCCTCATGGATACAGGGATCTTACCATCATGTATCAAGAGGTTTATATGAAGATTTGCTAGTGTTTGAATTTCAGATAAATCCTGGAAAATTGCCATTTTCTGTAGGGTCATGACCTTTGTCATATCACATTAAAAGATAAGCAAAAAGTGTCAAGGAACCTGGCAGCTCCGTATATGATAATTTTTTTTCTTTCTGCTTACTTCAAAATTAACATGCCCATTTGGAAGGCGGTTAGCACATCCCTCATTCAGAAAATAAATGTCTTTGATCAGCAGGCTGAAGAATGGAATCACAATCTGTGAAGAGAATGACATAACTATTATTTTTGCACTTCTGGTTGTTTATGCCTGAAAGGGCAGCTCATTCACAAGAAGAAAAGAAAGATTAACTTTTCAAAGAACAATACTGTAATGAAGAAACCCTAATACTAGTTAGGCCCAGAGGAGACAGGGTATAAAAGATGACTTTAACAGTCCATACAATAACTGCAACACTGAACAAATTTTCCCTGCATACTGTACACTGACAAGTCAATTCCATAGAGATTAAATGTGTTCCAAGGTTACACTGTTATATCCCATTAATATTTTAGTAGCATCAATTTTTATGTAATGATAAGATTGTTTCAGCAACAGGAACATTTCTACAAATAAACAGATTAACTTCCAACAATAGACAAATGGATAGGAAACAGCCAAAGAATATAATGAGGTTTTCCAATGCTACAAAATGTTAACAATTGCACTCGAATAAGGAAGCATAATGAATAATAGACACTTGTGATTTAACATGGCAATGCACCTAACGAAAAGGCCCCAGATATCTTCTCATAAATATCTTTTCACTGGCAGGCAAAACATTTTTATGTAGACAGCCATTTGAATTCTTAACTATGGAGCGGTTGTATGTGTGTGTGTGTAAATGATAGAATCATAGAATGGGAAAAGACTTTGTAGGCCATCCAGTCTAACCCCTTGCCAAGAAGCAGGAAAATCACGTTCTCTTGGTTATTGTTTAATATTTTATCTTTTAATTTAAAACATGTTTTAAATATGTGTTAAGTGTTTAAAACTATTTAACCATGTTTTTGTTGATAGAGATATTTTATTCCTTTTAGTGTTTGTAAATTAATTGTTTTAGCAGCATTTAAAAAATACTGCAAGTCACCTTAAATACCATTCTGGGAGAAAGGCAGGATATAAATTTAATACATAAATAAATTTGGGGGCTTCTTTTTTAAAACTGGGAACTGCTCTACATTTCAAACCACTCACAAAATTTGGACTAACCTGGTCCCATATTACGATAAATAAAAACATTCAATACAGGTAACAAAATGCTCTCAAATGCTGAACCTAATGTGGGGCTCTTTTTTTTTACTCTAACTAGCTGAGGGCCCCTTGGTGGTGCAGTGAGTTAAACCACTGAGCTGCTGAACTTGCCAACCAAAAGGCTGGTGGGTCAAATCCGATGAGTGGGGTGAGCTTCTGCTGTTAGGCCCAGCTTCTGACAACTTGGCAGTTTGAAAACATGCAAATGTGAGTAGATCAATAGGTACTGCTTCTTGGAGGTGTCTACATACAACACCAGCTCTTCAGCTCTTTGGACACGACTAGACTTAATGTAAAGGGGAAACCTTTACTTTTACCTTACAACTGGCTGAGCTGGCCAGGGAATTCTAAGAGTGAGTAGAAGGAATGATTGATGTCTTGAAAAAGCAAGGCAGAGTTCCAGCAAGACTAACTTAAGTCCATTGCTGGAATTTTTCCACCTGGATCCCATGATATTGGACAACTACTGACCAGTTTCGAAAAATCTAATTTTTAGCCAAGGTCTTATAGTAGTGTTTCCCAACCTTTGGTTTTTTAGGTGTCTTGGACTTTAAGAAACCCTATCCAGCTTGACCAACTGTCAGGATTTCTGGGAGTTGAAGTCCAAAACACTTGAAGATCAAAGTTGGCCTTCCAACTTCAGAGGATAAAGATCCATTTCAATCTGATTTCATGCTAGGCTATGGAGAAGAAACAGCTTTGGTCACTTTGGTGGATGACCTCTGCTGGGACCTGGATGTGTATCCCTGATGGTTCTGCCCAGTCTGCCAGTTCTGGCATCATCATCCATGGGATCCTTCTGGGTCTCCATGATGATGTGGGACTGTTTTACAGCGCTGTTTTACAGTGATTCTATTCCTGCATGGAGATGCAAGGCCAGAAAGTGGAGCTAGGGAGCTCTTGCTTTATTCTTTGGTTTTGTCTTGTTCCCAAAGCTGTTTATCATATACATGAAACTGCTGAAAGTGGTTGTCCAGAGCAGTGTTTCTCAATACTGAAGACTATGCCACTGCCTTCACACTAGACTCTCTTCATGTATTTTCCTTAGCAGATTTTTTTTCTGCAGATGTTTTTTAAAGCATAAAACTATACAGAGGTTAGTAAGGGAAGAATACTGGCAAGTAAGCAATTTTGACAAGCTATGCCCAGTGGCAAGAGCAATGTATTCACTATGGCTTCATCTACACAGTAAGTCAACAAGAGCCATTTGCAGCAAGCTCTTCTTCAGTTGTAAAACCCTGTACAAAGTTCACTTGCAAGGATTTAAGCTTACCTGGAGAGCACATTTGAATTCTTCAACAGGTGCTACATTTTTTTTATTAAAGGAAGAATGAATTATGTAAGGTGGGCATAACCTTTAAGGATATCCTCAGGTATTTCTGCAAATGAACTGAACTGCAACTTGTTAAGTGCATACTAAGGTACTATGCTTGAAGGAAAGGAAAGCTCTGGGAAAGAGTGACAGAGTTTAAAAAAGGGTGGGGGGGGGAGAGAGAAAGAGTAGTCATTTGGTTTGGCAGGAAATGTCCTCAAGTTATTTATGGCACTTGCATGCTGAGCAGTCTGCTGAGTATCCAAAAAGAGGAGGCAAAAAAAGCCCACAAAAATCCTAGTAGTGACTGTGCCATCTTTGAAGCTAAGGCATTCAGGACACAGTAGAGAACAAGTAAAAGATGTACCTGCTTTCCCCTTATTTCCACCTGCTATTACAAAAAGCAACTTTAACTTCAAAAAATGAAATTAATGTGGTGCCACAATTTATAGAGCTGCTGAGAAACTACAATCCTCTCCGATTCCACATTGCAGCATGGTTTGCAATGATCTACATGAAAACCCTGACGTGAAAACTGGTCACATAGAATGGGATTCACTGAAATATGTTCACAGGCACAAGGGAACATGTCAGGCTGTTTGACTGGCTATTTTACCTTATGTTAGGTTGTACATACTATCTAGTGTGTTTTCTATAAATTACATTTGCCTGTCTGGATAGTAAAGACATGACAAACTACAATTCATTCCCCAGTAATCCCAGAGATTGACTACTGCAATGTGATTTTTCATGAGGTTTTCCTTCAAGAATCTTCAGCTAGTAAGAAATGTCACTTACAGGAATACTTCAGTTGCCAAAGCCTCTCTCATCATGAATCTTCTTTTTACAAAAGCCTTTACAAACTACCAGCCCTCTTAAGGCACTGGTAAAAAGCTGCTATCTCGGTCCAGTATATTGTAGAAATTATTTTCCCCACATACCACAATTATTCACCACTCTTGGTGAGTGAGACATGACTGGAAGTTTTATCACACTGTACATTCCTTTTGTGCAGCTAGGGATTCCTCCTTAAAATGAGACCAATCTGAACCCTCTATCAATTGGAAGGCAATGGAAACAGGGGGTTTTAATTGTGCTATCCAAGGTCTCTTCACAAAATGGAGTCAATACCTTGGACAGCTCTTTACCAATTGGATTAAGGCCTAGAACAAATTTGTTGCTCCACATCCAAGCCACCAGCCCCTCTGCTGGAAGGCAATTTTACTGCTCCTTTTCTTCTTTTTTCTGTTGAACTCTGGATAACAAAATAGACATGAAAACAGGAATCCTTTTCTATAGGTTGTGTGCTTGACTTCAGAACTTTCAGCAGTAGGTTAAGATCATGGCCTTTGGGTATGTAAGTTGGGATATGGTAAGAATAGTATGCCAAATAGAGAACACCATGTTAGAGATGGCTCCTCCACACTTCTCACCCCTGCGGGGTGAGAAGGGCGGAATATAAAAGCTGTAAATAAATAATAATAAATAATAAAATAGTTGATAGACTTTCTCTCCCAATAACCCACCCATCCAGTGAGACTAGGGTTGCCATTTTAGGTATCAACTCAGGCCCTGGGATTTCTGTATGGAAACCAGAGTCCTAAGGAAATTCCTGTTGATCATTAAGAGTTATGCATTAAAGACCAACCACAATGGTTCAGAGAGTAAGAATACAGTTTCATCAAGAGAGAATCTTAGTTAAGGTGAAATGAGGGGATTATTTCTGCCCACCTCTTTAGGAAGATGAGATAAAGGAGATTTAATCTAGGCTAATTGCTTCTAGCCATTAAGTGGCTGCACTGTAGAAGGGTGATCTCTGGCATCATAGTGACTGAAAAGAAACGTAAAGAATACACACCTTTCCCTCCACTGGAATCTTGGCAAAGTACAGCAATACACCAATTAGGCCATGTAAATTATAGCAAGCTGCTGCTCTACTAACTGAGTTGGAGATCTGCACACAGCCCTTTATTTTTGTCTGAAGCGAGCCCCTCAAAACTGGGGAAATTGCATCCTTGTCTCTTGCCTGAGAAGACCCATAAAACTGAAGGTTTTTTTTTGAAGTCTCCAGAGTTTCTTGCGATGTGTTAAGATCATTATCACTAGATAGAAGATTATGGGAATTGTAGCCCATCTAGAAAGCCCCAGATCAGAGACGGCCACTGCAGGTTGTTAAGGGGACAAAGAGACCTTCTCTCCTGTCAATCTACCCATAACACAGAGCAATTTAAAGTATAAGACTCATTTTATATCATATATATATTTGATTAAATCACATTTCTATTTTAGCTATAAAGTTTAATTTTTTAAAAAAAAAACCCTGAAAATGATTCTTAATTGGTAATTTAAGGGTTATAAAAGAATACCACAATTCCTGTTGGAAGCACTTGAAAATTGTCTCAATACACTTAAGGCGGAAATCAGGCTCCATTGCTAAACTTTGGTAGACACTCAAAAGTGCAAGTCCAGTCAGTCTTTCTTGTCCCATTGTGCTTCTTATGTATGTTTTGAAAACAATCTTTTATTTGTAGCTGTTGACACTGGTAATGTTGCCGAAAACTAAGGAAGTTTCTTCACATTTGGGAAAAAAACCTGTCGATCACAGACAAGATATGCTTCCAGTGCATTGATGGTTTTTTCTGCAGGTGTAATCTTTTTCCATTTACACCACATAACAAACTCTTCCATCAATGTGTCAGTATATTGAGGACATTTGTTGCAAAGTTCTGTGTACTTGTTGAAGTTGGATTTTAAATGGCCACAATTAATAGGGAGGAACACTTGCAGTTCCTGAAATACTCCCCTGTGCTTGTAAACCTTTCTTGAAGCTGACTGCAGACAAAGTCCAGAAATGGGATGTACACATTTAGCCAATAATATTTCATCACTGTTGGTGAAGTTGCCTGGATGTTGCTTTTACAAGTCTGCCTAGAACAGATACAAGGAATCCTAACTGTGTCAAAGACCTCCTGAAATTCTATCACAGATTCTTCTTGGCTTTTTCCAAGAGATTGTCAACATGTTGCACACAACAGAAAATCTCCACATCTATTCTTTGTAATATTTTGCTAAGCTGAAAGGATGATAAAAGAAGCTTCTTTAGGATGTGTATGGTTACTAGAAATTCAGCATTCAGAACAGCTAAAAGAAAGTGTCTGACTTGGGAAGACGTCTCACTGTTGTATGGAGAACTCTCTTTTAGTTCTTCAAATGTTTTCACCACACTGTACAGTTCAACAAAATGTAAAATTGCATCATGTCACTCAATCCAATGGGTTTCATGAGGCGACAACAGGTTGTTTACTCTTGATTCAGAGAAATAATTTTTAATATTTTTCTTCAACAGTTTCAGTCTGATGGATGATCCTCTGAAGAAATTCACACAGATGAAATTGTTCTTTGGCACAGAACTCCTATTCTTGTGGAAGTGACTCTATTAGTTCCAGTTAAGGAACCAAGTATCCAAAAACACAGTTGTAATGGTCTTCTACCTGAACAGTAAAACACCCATATCCTTTCCCGAATAAGCATGAAAGCTTTTCTTTCTCTTGTGTTGCAGAAGTATACAAAGTATATACAAAATATACAGACTTTACAGCTTCTTCTTCCTTACTACTCATAACAGCAATTCTCCAACACACTCTCCAAACTGTATCTGTCCCTCAGTTTTAGTAGAGATGGGAAGGCCTGGAAAAAACCTAGGAAAACTAGGGGGTAAAAAACAGCTTTTTTCAAGGTTTTTTCCCCCAGAAAAATTGAAAAAAAAGTGTGTAGAAAAAAAGGCTTGGAAATCTTTCATTAAAGTCTTCATGTTATGTAGTTTGAATACCATGTCATAGATATATTATTTACCACTGGAAAAGAACATATTCCATCAGGCATGTAGCCAGGGGGGGGGGGGCGGGGGCTTCAGCCCCCCCCCCCCCCCCCCGAAATTTTCATGGTGGTTCGCGAAAAGGCCTTAATGGTGCATTATTTAAACTGTTATGTTTATTCATATCATGATCTGATCACCATACTCAATATATCCCATATGCATGGGGGTATTGGGGTAATGATACAAAAGGTTTGCTAGGCTAGACCCTCTTTCACTCAGACTCCGCTCGCCCCCCCGAAACTCAGCCCCCCCAACCACCCCTGAAAAAAATTCACCCCCCCCCCCCCCGAAACGAAATCCTGGCTACGGGCCTGTATTCCATACACTTTTCCATTTTTCTGGAAAAAAATGGCTTTGGGGAAAAAAACAGTTTTTTCCCCATTTTTTCCAGTTTTTCCTCCCAGGCCTTCCCATCTCTAAGTATAACTACAACCTATATACAACTCCCATTGCATTAACCACCACACCCTAATTATAGTGGCTTGACACTTTTACAGGTGATTAGGCCAGAGGTATTAACTCTGTTATCAATTAGAAAATGTCAGGTAATTTCCAAATCCTAACATCTATCTTTTTCAAAGTGTTTGCAAATCTCCTTGGATGAAAAATATTAATTTGTAAGTGTTACTTATGAATATTGCAATGATCAGGTTTAGATCTGCAAATGCTTTGCCTTGTTATTTTCTTTTGTATTGAATTTACATTTTCAATTGTTATGGTTTCTTGCTTCTTTGTTAGCTAGACTGGAAACATAAACAGAAATGGAAGGAATAAATAGTCTAATGCATGAATGAACACATAATGGAATATATAGTAAAGGATAACAGCAAGGGCAACACAATACTGTACAGCACTGCATCTGCTGGACTCCAAAGAGTCAAGATTGCAAATATGCATTGACAGAGCATCCTTTTTAACTTTCCAGTTCAGCGTCTCTTCTTCTGCACTGCTCTAAATTAAATTCTCCACACAGTTACTCCCTGACAACAGTCCACTGGAATGCATTACACATTGAATGTGTAGTCTACTGTGAGCAGCATTTACTGTAGTTTCTTGAATATGTTGAGATTTGCAAGTCAAATCAGATAGTCAATTAAGGTTTGCAGATATTCATCTCTTCCAGTTCCCTGAAAAAAATAAACTTCGTGATGTAATAACGAATAGCAGTATGGATGTTCATGTGCACACACACACACAGAGAGCTTCCTGAAGCAATCTACAATTCAACGCCCCAAAAGTGGGATTTTTAACTTTTAAAGAAAAATGTTTCATCATTGTTCATTGAATTAATATAGAAAATTCAACCCCTTTGTTTTTTAGTCAGGGTATTGGAAGACCAAGAAATATCCAACACCCATATTAAAACTATCGTTCAAAAGATCGTAAAGCTTGCTTTGATATAGGATGAGGAGTGAATAATACTGCACTTTTAAATGAGTAGTAATCCCCTCTTATTGATTTTTACCCGCTACGCATAAATTATTTATAAAATATATACTTGGATATTGAACATAGGTTGTAGGTTTGAAAACACCTGTTATTAGATTCTGGGCTACATTCCGATAAAGTATAAAAGTCATCCATACATCTTCAAAAATAACAATACTTCACATTATTAAGCTTTTGTGGCCCTTGGTCTTAAGGAGATATGCCTCTGCTTCACGCAGGAAATGAGATCAAATCCACAGGCTTGCAAAGCTATATCTCAGAGACAGACTATATAGCCAGCAGTAATCTTGAACTTTACCTTTTCTCTGTTGCTGTGTGCTGTTAGGGACCGATGAGCAGCTCCCCGCAGAGCAGTTCTGTAGTTGTAAAAATTACCAGTAGGATCCATTTGATGCTGGAGATAGAAAAAAATATCCCCAATATCCGTTATCAGATCAAAAAGTGTCTGGAACAGCTTTACCTTGTAAAGTTTATAGCTTGATTAAAAGGCAACACTCTAGTGGAGCCAAGACACTTCAGATCAAGGTGGTACATTTCTTATTTTGGGATGAACAATCACTTAAAAGGCATGCTACAGTTTAAATCCAATACTAGTAATACTTAGAGTAAGCTCATAGAAATGTATAGGCCTGATTAGCTAAACTAATATGAATGTATGGCATCAAATTCTGCCAATTTCTGTCTTGAGCTGTCAAGCTGCCTTGAGTCGACATAAGGCTGAGAAAGACAGGCTACAAATGCCATAAATAAACAAACAAATAAATAATTCTAATCTTAGTAGGACTAGACCCATTTTATCCTACCTGATATAGGAATTCAAGGTCATTTTAGATAAGTGTCAGCATTTTATTATGCTATTGTACATAAACAGACTTGAGATCCATGGATTTGGATATCCATGAGAGATCCTGGAACTAAAACTAAACTCCAGCCAGACACCAAGGACTAGCTGCACATTCAATGTAGGAGTTTGGGTCTCCTAACCTCCACCCTACTTCCCCAAATTAGAGCAAAATATGGCATTGGAAATAGTCCCTTTAATCCATGGCATGTACTTAGTTCCTGAAATCATTCAAAGCTGACAACTCTGCGGTCAATCTTTCTACTATATTACATTTTTTATACTTCTGATATGACTGTGTGTGGCTCTTTTATGGGTCAGATCCTTTCTGCTTTACATCTTGTGCCCATCCAAAATGTGACAGCATGCAAAATCAGTTTTTCTAATTAGTCCTTGAATATTCACTTAGCAGCAAATGTACAGTTCCCAGTGTTTTACCTCAAGAATAAAAAATTTGGCTGTTTTCACTTTTGACCAGGTCTTCTTTAACCTGGATACTGGGCTCATGTTCATACCAGCTGGAAGGAAAAGAAAAGTAGATGATGAAAGGAGGAAAGATTCCAAAACAGAAAGCCCTTTACCTATCAGGGACCACATAGATAAAGAACATACTTACATATGATTGCCATCAGTGAATTAAAATTTCCTATGTTAAAACACTCGCGAGCAACATCAATGAAGAACTCAATGACTTGTGCCCTCTGCTTCTTTTTGGCAGGCTGCAAATAGACAAAGCAACCGTCATGGAAGGCAGGTATAAACACGACAAGCAATAACAGAGATACTTTATGAGGGAGATACTCAATGCTGTATCTCAATCTATTGATTGCAGAAAGATACAAAATTCCATTCAAGTAGTTTGATTAATGAGGTTCATTGCTGGCAGGTTGCAGAATCAACATTTCCAATAGAGTGTGTGACCCAAACTAATTATACCTTAACAATTTCCCCAAAGCAATGACCCAATACAGACTCATAAACCTGTAGAATAAAGTCTATTAATTCCAGGGACACTTTGTATAAGTAGCTGTCAATAAAATGATAATCATTGTAACTTTTCATGGGCTTGAAGCCAATTTCTGCAACTATGACCAGGCTTCATCTTCTGAACAGAAAGGACACCTTTCTTGAAAAAGTGTAAATTGTGAGAGTTTCGCCCTTTATGAAAGTTTTTTTGACCCAAGTATTGTCACATTAGTAAGAGATGAACTAGGTACACAAGGTAGGACTGGCAAGAAGAGGCAATTGAAGGAAAGAGGAAATGTTGAATTTCAGTTTTACTTCAAGAAGCATGGTGTAAGAGCTGCAGCGAGGGGAAGGTGGGTTGTAGGGCCAGGAGGAAACCATACATTCCAAGTCACTGAAAGATGAAAATAAGAATGTAAAACCACCCAGCCTTGCAAGTTTTCTAGAATAAGACCTATGTGTGTCACATGGCTTAGCATTACATTAGCCGAGTGAACAATGCAAGAGGATCTTGTCTTCCTAATTAGATGAAGTTAGCATCCAGTGCTTGTCTACCATTTTGAAAGGGTCAAGGGAGCATAAAAATTGTTAAAGATTGAGGCAGACAGGTTTCTGCCTATGTTTTGCCAGCAACAACTATACTTTCTTTCTTGTTGGTATGTGACTTCTACCATTATAAGACACACTTGTCCAAACCTCAATGTTGCCTTTGAAGACAGTCCGGAAGCTCCAACTAGTCCAACGGGCGGCAGCCATGGTACTAACAGGAGCAGGGCGCAGGGAGCACACAACTCCTCTGCTGCACCAGCTCCACTGGCTGCCGATATGCTACCGGGCTCAATTCAAAGTGCTGGTTTTGGCCTTTAAAGCCCTAAACGGTTCTGGCCCAACTTATCTATCCGAACGTATCTCAGCCTATCAGCCCACCAGGACCCTAAGATCTTCTGGAGAGTCCCTGCTCTCTATCCCACCGGCTTCCCAAGTGCGGCTGGCGGGAACGAGAGACAGGGCCTTCTCTGTGGTGGCCCCTCGGCTTTGGAACACCCTCCCTATAGAGATACGATCAGCCTCTTCGCTGATGGTCTTTCGGAAGAGATTAAAAACATGGTTGTGTAAACAAGCATTCAATTAGTTGTTACCACCGAATCTATGGACTAAGGACTGGTTAATTATGGATGACGAACTCTGGACTGTGATTTTTGTGACGAGAAGCATGCTATTATTATTGGTGGCCCAATAATTTGTATTGTTTACGTGTTGTTTTAAATTGTATATTGTTTTTAATTGTTGTAAACTGCAATGAGTCGCCGATTTAGGCTGAGATATTAGCGGTATACAAGTGTATTAAATAAATAAATAAATAAATAAATAAATTCTTTCATTGCCTCCGTTTTTTCTATCATTTGTTATTTATTGCTGTACTTTTCTGTAGAGTATATAAACTTAAAACTTCATGTTACTGACTTAAAAGTTAATCCAGGTTGAGTATCCCTAATCTGAAATGCTTGGAACCAGAACTGCTTAGGATTTTCTTTCCAGATTTTGGAATATTTGTATTTGCATGCATGTGCATAATGAGAAGTCTTAAGAGAAAAAAATAATTTATGATTGTATTTACCTTATAGACATAATCTAAAGGTAATTTTATACAGAATATTTTCAATAATTTTGTGCATATAATAAAGTTTATATACACTGAACTATCAGAAAGCAAAGGTGTCACTATCAAAGCCACCCAGGTGGATAATTTAGGACTTTGGAGTATTTTGGATATTTGAATTCTGGAGAAGGAAAGGTCAACCTGTATAAACAGAATGGTTCAGGCATGTGATGTAGCATGGCTGCATTTATTTGACTTACCATACAAATTTCTGTTGCTACAAGATAGCAAAGCCTATTGAACCATTTTACATAGGCTTCAAGGTTACTAGTCTTCTTCTGTTCACTGAAACAAGGCTGGAAAACAAAGGACTAAAGTGACATATAAACTAGATTCTGATTAGCTTTTAAAAAGTGATATTAAGTACAGAGTGTTGTTTAATCATCAATATAATATATATTTATGTGAGATCATGTGCACTCATGCACAGGGACAGGATGTGTGGGGTTCAACTTTAAATATATGTGGGCAGACTTGAGCTTAGCATAGTGGAAAGGCTGGAAAAACCATCTCTAAGTATTCCTTGTCCAAGAAAGCCCTATGAAATTAATGGGGTTGCCATATATTAACAGGTGACAACACATACTGTACACAAAGACACACACAAACACTCAACCTTTTCCGTAAATCAAATCAGTGCACATGGACAGGACAGCTGTATTTTGCCTTGCAGCAATTGGTCACAAGACAATTTATTCCAATCTGCACTCACTAGGATATTAACAGCCAGGATACTGCAATCTGCAAAGAGCAACAAAGCTCTGGAGAAAATAAAATCAGACAAGCACGCCTTTCCTTGTAATATGTATTTAGTTTATGCCTTTGACTCCAAGAGTATCTATAGTTCAGCAAATGCAATTGTCTGTGATGTTGTCTTGTATGAAGCAAAATATCTGATTAAGTTGTAGAGGAAGAGAGGGAACAAGAAAAGAAAAAGGTGAGGCAGTTACAGTACATAATATTGTTTGCCTTAAAGAACATTATTTTGCATTCTCTTGTCTTTGAAAGAATGATACCTTCACTACTAATCTCTTTATCTCTGACCTATTTCTGTTTCATTGGTTGCTGTGAAACAAGTCACTCAGATGGCAAAATTCATCAGAAAAAATGTCCTTCTTGTGACATGTGGTCTTTAGATAGCAGTTACTAGGCAATTACATGGGACTAAGAACTCTCCTTGGAAATTAATTTTAGTTTGCAGACCCACAGAAAAGTCCTATATATGTCTACTTGGAAGCAAGCCCCCTTGGAATCAATGGGATTTACTCCTAGGTCACTGTGTTCAAGACTGTAGCCTAAATTCTTGATGGATGATAGTGGAACACATTCCCTGGATACTTTTTCCTCCCTGAAAGGATTGATTTAATGTTTCTCTCTGTGTGTATCTTAAAGACCTGTTTCCAGCTACCAGGAGGTATCAAGAAATATTTATTTTTTCTTTCATTAAAATGAATTTACAATTTATGGCCCTAGGATAAGATGGGTGAATGGAGAGGAAGATTTTATGTAGGGGAAAGGGGGCTCTCATGCATGGGTTAATATCAGAAAAGGCACCATTTGGGAGATCTGTTTTGCAAATATATTTGTACAGCAGAAAATGTATCCTACGGCGAAAGAAGATTAAAGGGGGACATGGGGATTTGTGAGATGGAGGAATTCACATGGAGAAGGAAGTATTTTTATAATGTAAGCAGCCGGGAGAACAAGCACTCGCAAATTAAATAAATATCACTTTCACAACTACTTCAGTGCACAGCAGCAGAAAAACCTAAGCCATAATGACTTCCAGCTGATCCATCTCATTACAGAGCCAATGATATGGACCTACTGATATTCCCTGAGACTGGACTGAAGTTCAGCGTGATGGTGTAAATCATCTGAAACATATGTTTTAAAAATGATATATTCAATAGGGATATACAAAATGCTTCATAATTTTCTGATCCTTGCTGAGAAAGGGCTACTTCCAATATCAAGACTGTTGATAATCTTGTCAGCCAGTACAAAACTCATTTTTTGGCATTGTGAAGACTTCAATTGCAATAAATAAATAAAAATGAAATAGAATGAATGGAATATAGTTTTGAGCAGAAAAAAAAGAGTTTTTTCAACAAATAAAATTTTCACACATAATGTAATAATTAAAATGCATGAAAGCTCTTACAATTTTATCCAACAGGGAACAAAATTGAAATTATTAATTCTGGCATGTACAAATGAAATAAATTATGATCAACAGCTATTTTCCATTAAAGGCACTCCCAGACATCTTAACATGGTCTGATGCAGCTGAAAATTAACTCAGGATAGGCTTTTCTTATACTTTTTATGTCTTTGATATATGTATATATACAGATATATGTCACTGGGTAGTGAGACTATGAAAACTACAATTCTAATATATGGGTTAATGCTTCATTTATATTAGTTTTTGTTTTACAAACACACACACACAATCACTCATAACAATAACAAAACTACAAAAAATGAGAATGCTAAAGGAGACAATTTATCCTATTTTGCAGTATTTTAGTTGAGCCAAAACATTTGAAACAACTTTATTACTGTGCCCCTGTTAGGTATACCTGTTTGAACCTGTGCTTAAATGACCTGGATAATTTGATTCCACCAGTCTATAACATGCTGAAGAGATAAAAGACTAAGAGAGCCAATATTAGCTATTAGCATTATGATACTAGTCCAATCCAGAAACTAATAACCAGTAAGGTTACCAGTTCGAGAGTCTGCTAAATGATCAAAATCAACCCAGTTTAGCTTCACTCCATCTTTGTATGGAGTGTTGCATCCATCTAATTGTATGGAAAAAGAGTCATATTTATGTGCACCTTTTCCTTTATTTCATTAGCTATTGGAATATGAATCAGGTTGTTGTTTTTTTTTACATTAAATGGTGTGAGCTATTTTAGAACAATGGTGGCAATTTTTCCCCCCACAACCAGTGCTTCCGCTATCACCACTACCAGAGTTTCAAGTGCAATTGTTCTGTAAACATGTTGTTTCAAATGTATCAATAAAAAGGTTTAAAAAGGTAAATGTTTCCCCTTGACATTAACTCTAGTCATGTCCAACTTGGGGCGGAGGAGCATGCTCATCTCCATTTTTAAGCCGAAGAGCCAGCATTGTCCATAGCCACCTCCAAGGCCATGTGGCTGGCATGACTGCATGGAGTGCTGTTACCTTCCTGCAGAAGTGGTACCTATTGACCTATTCATATTTGCATGTTTTCAAACTGCTAGGTTGGCAGAAGCTGAGCCTAACAGTGGTAGCTAACCCCTGTCCTTGGATTCAAACCCCTGACCTTTTGGTCAGCAAGTTCAGCAGCTCAGCAGTTTAACCTGCTCCGCCACCAAGGAGTTAAAACACATACATAAATTCCCCTTAATCTGTTTGGAAGAAATTGATCACTGTAGCCCTTACACTTTCAGTGTCTGGCCATCACACATCAAAACCTCCTGGCAGTTTATTGGCTGATCCTCACAGTTAGTTGAGACCAAATAAGGTTTGCAGTGTTTCTAATAATGGCACAACCTATGGATGCTGAATCTTTAAAAGGGAGAAGTTTTTGCTCATGTATCACCAAAAAACGTTTTCCTGTTGTTTGGATCCAAATTCCACAAGGGATACTACCAAAATAGGTGGCCTTTGTCTCCCTGGTTTCTGATGGCTGGCTTCCATTCACCCATGTCTGCCCTTGCCGTCATTCATATGGGCTCTTTTCCCTGCAAAGATCTCTTGCCTCTCTCTTCTCTGACCCTCCCACTAGAGGAAACACAGAGAGCATAGGACTGACAAACCGCTTCAAACCTGACCAGCTACATGTCCCTGTGCTCCTCTGCCTGCCTGACAAAATTCAACTTTGCATGTGAATTCGTATTTCAAAATGCACCCAAGTTAAAAAAAAAGAAAAAGAAGGAAAGATGGGGAACCTATTAGCAGCAACACAGAAAGGAAGCCAAGCTGATCTGGAAGCTGCGGTCTGCAGTAAGGGGTTGCGTCTAAAAGCTGTTATTCCCTTGAAATGTAAAACACTTTAGAAGGTGAATAATATATTGAGTGTTGAACTGTAATATGTGGATTTTCTAAGTTATAGTCTAGAGATCGAGATTCCCTAACTCAGCATGTGATGAGGAATATGGTTTGAATTTCACACTCTGTCTCTCCTCCCCCCCCCCCCCCCCCCCCAATTTCCTGATACCATTCCCATTTTCTTTTCTGAGAAGCAGGTTCAGCATGAGCTTCACTAGCAACTGGGGAGAGGGGAAGATGACAGGCCTATGAGAGGATGGGAAGCATCAAGGATTTAAAGACATAGTATATATCTGTGGGCTGCAGCCTGGTGCCCTTAATAATCTACAGAGACCTCCAAATTATTTGGAAGTCAACGAAAGAAAAATACAGTTTTCTCTCATAGTCATAACAAATAATACAGCAACTAAGCACCCTAACTCAGTTCTAGCTGCATAATGAGCAAATGCACACCATGTTGCTTTTTAAATCCCAGTGGAAACTGGTTGACAGATGCTGCAAGTCTCCTGCTAACTTCAAGTAATTTCTGCTGAGGCAGAAAAGTTACCAAGTATTACTGTAGAAAGAAAAGGATCTGAATTCCCTCCAACCATTGCTCCAAATATTCAGAATAATATAATTCACTTCCCTTTTAAAATGAGTTGAAGCTAAACATAATTTTCTAGCCAAAGTGTTTAAAGAGAAACAAGCCAAGGTTTCTAGACATATCTGTTTGAGGAACACTCTTCTTTTAGCTTCTGCATCTTGATTATTCTTATTGGTCACATGCCAAAGGTGGCTTTTGAAGATTTATCTGTGCATCAATACTGCATGAAGTAATTTATTCTCCTGTTTGCATTTCCACAGATACTGGTGGGCATTTTGCAAAGGCAGAAGATAAATTTCTCTCTACTCAGATTGCTGCACTTTATTTTCTTTTTTAAAGAACCACTTTATTCTAACATAAACTTGTCTTCAGACATCTAATAATAGTTTTGAAACCCAAGAAAGAGTGTCTCTACACTATACAGTTTTAACAATTTGATACTATTTTAGCTGCCATGGCTACATTCTACAAATGTTTGTAATCTGTAATGTGAAGACTGCTTAGAATGGTGTGTTGTAGTTGGGTGATGCAGACTACAGTTCTCCAGTAGAGAAGTCTAAATATGTCTTTGTCTTGCCAAACCCAAGATTCCATATAATGAAGTTGCAAAAGTTAAAATGGCATCAAATTGCTAAAAATATGAATGGTAGATACATCCAAAGTAGGCTTTGTACATTCATTTATTCACAACACAATAATTGGGAGCCCACAATTTAATGCAACTGTAAACAAACATTCTATGAACTTCACAAAAAATATATTTTTGGGTGCATTGCCCATTGTGTGGCCCCAATCACCATGTAGCCTACACTTTGAATTGTTTAACCACAGGATATAATATAAGGGGGCAAGGAAGGAGAGGAGATATAATATTGCTCATCATACCTTTGTGCTTTCCAAAGGATCTTTATGGACAAATGCTTGAACAAATTCTTCGGGACCAATGTGGCTCAGTCTCTCCTTTTGCAAGAGATAAAGTGAGAATCAGTGTAACAGAGCATGCTTAAAAATCACTTATGTCATTTTACATTGCTTAAATATGGACATGCATCTTCACATTATTTATCTTTCATGCAAGGAAGAACAGTTGTCATAGCATTCTCTCTGATGTGGCAGGAAATGAAGATCTCTGTGTAGTTCTCGGGAGATATTCACAGTGTCTTGAGTAATTATTTTATGAGTAAATACAAGGGGGTTTTTTTGCATACGCATTAAGCTTTTCTGTGCAGACAACAGGTTCTGGAAGGTCCTTTTTTAAGGAAAGAGGGTGTTATGGTTTCATTCAAAATAGGTTGCTACCCTTGGTTCACATTGATCCACTTCTGCTAGATATTGCCAGTCAATATGGCTATGCTTACATGTGATGGGAAAAAGTGATTTAAGTATCTTGTCCACACCATCAGGCATGACCCCAGGCAACCTGTCCAAACACACCACTGAACACTTTCCCAGACTCTGCAATGATTGTGAGATCAGATTCTGAATGAATACATGCAACATTCTTCTTATATCAGTAGTGAAGTTTTCCTGGTTGCGGCTGGAATTTCTCTGAACAATGGCTTTCTATGTAATTAAGGACCTCATTACAGTAGAACATGGATCCACTTTAAATCCAATTTCTGCCTCCTGCAGAATTCTGGGGCTTGTAGTTTAGGGAGGGATCTTTAAATTGCTGCCAGAGAGGTCTTGGGCCTCATTAAATTACAAACCCCAGAAAACTTAAGGAGGCAGAAACTGGCTTTAAAGTGGATCCATGCTCTAGTGTGATGAGGCTGTAAAAGTCAGTGTTGGAAGTACTGCTTTCCACTTACCAGTTCCACATGTGTTAGCTGTTGAGCCAAGGTGTAAGGATCACTGCACACACTCAACATTTCTCTTTGAATGGATGGAGGCTTACTTTTAAAAGCCACCACCTTATCTGAGACAGCTGCATTGATCTTGACCATCCCTTCCTGCCCATGATTAAGAGTGGCAAGTTTTTGATTCAGGGTTTGCAGAAGTTGATTCATCTTTTTCCAATAAGCCTGAAGTGAAGAAAATAAGAAGGAAGCAACACAGAAAAAGAACAGAAAAAAATCTTTATGAACTATAGGCTAGAAAACAAACAAAACTCTTATTTTCAACCAAACTGTTCTAAAACAAGCAGTCAGCTTAATTATAGCTCCACCCTAAACTCCATCCGATGGCTGTCTTCCACAAGACTGTCTACCAAACAAAGCATGTATATAATGGGCCAAAACCACAGTTTAACCCACAGGCCACAATACAAGCTCCATGTTGGTCAACATAGAGGCAGGAGATAAAGGAATTGGCATCTGCCAGTTTAGTTTTTTTGATTTGATTGTTTTTCTTGTATAATCTTTCTTTGGACTGCAAGAGCAAAACAGGAGCAGAAAATCTTGCACCAATTTAATATTACTGTTCTTAACTAGAACCTAAATTAATTGAAATATTCTGTATTTATTCAAAATAAATTGTGATGGCAATTATGACTTCTAAGAGCCTTGGCATTCCAGGATCGAGTAAGGCAGGCTGTCAAACTAACAAATAAATACATAAATAGTCTACGTTAAGCCAGTGCAATGTTCATTTCACAAGTACTGTTTGACTGTATATTGCTCATGGTGTTCATTCATTCCAGAAACAGACAAGAAAATGATGCCAAAGTAAGTGCAATGCTACTCATAGTAAAAGCCAACATACATACCAGCAATACCACTGTTGTGATATTTGTTCTCTGAAATTAGTAACCATATTGACCTTTAGATGGTTGGTAAAAACTATATTTTTCCACTCAGTTTTTGGCAGTTAATGATGTCCATTGATTTTTAAACATTCCCCTGTTTTATTGCAATATATGTATTTAACTGTTTTGTTAGAGTCCTAGGTAAGTTGTGTTTGGAATGGGTACATTTTATTGTTTCGATGATTTCACTGCAAACTGTCTTGAGTTCTCAAAAAGTTCCAAATAGACAGGCAATTCAGAAATATGTTAAATGTATTCTTAAACAATATAGAAATAAACAAACAAGAAATTCTTATGGTTTTTATTAGTGGCATACTACGTAGTGGCAGTTCTGATTAATGGTAATGTCAGAATTAAAAGTCTCTCATTTTGTCTCCCAAAATACATATCTGTGACCAATGTAAAACCATATTAGATATCGCATGGCTTTTAGTTTCTTATACAAAGATCCCATCACGTTTTATGACATTGCAATTGATACAGTCTACTTTAAGTATTTATTTCATGAAGTATCAAATACCTTCAGTGACCCTAGGGATTCTCAATTGTCCAATTTGAGAATTGGACAATTGTCCAAACATGAACCAACTCCACTGTAAAACCATGGCTCTTTCAAGTTTTCCTTTCAAAAGAGAAGCACATGAATGGAACCTTATGGATTACTCCTTTAATTAAATACTAATTCTGACAAAGGTGACTAACTTTTAATACCTTTTTGGAAACCTCACACTCCACCAACAACTAGTGTGTACTCTGACAGTGGAAACCAGAAGCAGAACATGAACTAGATATGTAAAACCATGATTATTTTGCCCTTGCATGCAAAGACAACTGCTGTTTTTCCACCCACTGTGAGAAGAAACAATTTTTTTCTCCACAATAATCTTCTCATATTCAAATGTCCCATATTCAAATGTTTTCAATAAACATTTTTCAAAAAATCTGGAAAATAATACTATAACTGCAATTTTTCTTTCCATCGCTAGTATGGCCGTTAAAAATTCTCAGAATCACACTCTCTGAAAACAACAAGCAGGACTGTGTATTGAGATGTACTTGTTTATGTGTGGGTGTGTGTGTGCGCGCGCGTGCGCTTCTCTATCGGGACACAAATATAAAAATAGGTCCTCCATCTGGTTTCAGTAGCAAATAAAATAAGTGCTTTAATCATACATTAATTGTATGATTCCACAGGGTTCCACAGGGTTCCATACTGTCCCCCATGCTGTTTAATATCTACATGAAGCCGCTGGGTAAGATCATCCGGAGTTTCGGGGTGCGGTGTCATCTGTACGCAGATGATGTCCAACTCTGTCACTCCTTTCCACCTGCTACTAAGGAGGCTGTCGAGGTCCTGAACCGGTGCCTGGCCGCTGTGACGGTCTGGATGAGGGCGAACAAACTGAAATTAAATCCAGACAAGACAGAGGTACTCCTGGTCAGTCGCAAGGCCGAACAGGGTATAGGGTTACAGCCTGTGCTGGACGGGGTCGCACTCCCCTTGAAGGCGCAGGTTCGCAGCTTGGGTGTGACCCTGGATTCATCGTTGAGCCTGGATCCCCAGGTTTCAGCGGTGACCAGGGGAGCATTTGCACAGCTTCGGCTCGTGCGCCAGCTGCGCCCGTATCTCGGGAAGTCTGACTTGGCCACGGTGGTACACGCTCTGGTCACATCCCGGCTTGACTACTGCAACGCTCTCTACGTGGGGCTGCCCTTGAAAACGGCCCGGAAGCTTCAGCTGGTTCAGCGTGCGGCAGCCATGTTACTAACTGGAGCGGGATACAGGGAGCACACAACACCCTTGTTGTCCCAGCTCCACTGGCTGCCGATTTGCTACCGGGCCCAATTTAAGGTGCTGGTGTTGGCCTACAAAGCCCTAAACGGCTCCGGCCCAAAATACCTTTCAGACCGCATCTTGGCCTATGAGCCCACGAGGACCTTGAGATCGTCTGGGGAGGCCCTTCTCTCGATCCCGCCTGCCTCACAGGCACGCCTGGCGGGGACGAGAGAGAGGGCCTTCTCAGTGGTGGCCCCCCGGTTGTGGAACACTCTCCCTACAGACATCAGGCAGGCGCCCTCTCTTTTGTCCTTCCGAAAAAGCCTCAAGACGTGGCTGTTCGAGAGGGCATTTAATTAAGTGCTATAGTAATGTGGTAAAGACGACTGGAATGGTACAAGGAATACGAGATTGGTCACGATTCTATTACGAGACGAAGCGGATTAGTTAGTGTAATTTTAACTGTTGTATTGTTGTATGGTTAATATGCTGTTGTACTTGTCTTTGTGTGAATTGCCTTTTGTACTGTACACCGCCGTGAGTCGCCCGAGTGGGCTGAGAATGGCGGTTAATAAATGCTCCAAATAAATAAATAAATAAATAAATAAAATACATTCTGATTTCTTTTAATCTGGCTTTATCTCTTCACAGGTTATTCCCAAATGATATATTTTTGGCAACATTAATATTTTGCTCCATTTGAACTCTCATAATTACTCTTCTATCCATTCTTTGTTCACAATGCCAGATATTCGAGGAAACCTGTTTTATGGTCAAAAGCCTTGGCTATCGGGATCCAAAATGAAAGTAAGCTATTGTTCTAAGATATTCAGACTCATAAAACTGCATGTATTTGGCCTGTTCCAGAAACCTTAGAGTTCTGATAGGAACTAATTAAAACCAATTAAGTTATTATTAAATCAAATCCTGACAAACAAAAAGAGACTTTTTTTCAAATTAAACCAAATTAAACCAAGTGTATGTTGTCAAAAGCTTTCATGGTTGGAATCACTGGCTTGCTGCGAGTCTTCCAGGCTGTATGGCCATGTTCCAGAAGCATTATCTCCTAATGTTTCACCCACATCTATGTTAGGCATCCTGAGAGGTTGTGAGGTCTGTTAGAAACTTGGCAAGTGAGCTTTATATATCTGTGGAATGTCCAGGGTGGGAGAAAGAACTCTTATCTACTTGAGGCAAGTGTGAATCTTGCAATTAGCCAGCTTTATTAGCATTGAATACCCTTGTGGCTTCAAAGCCTGGCTGCCTCTTGCCTGGGGGGAATCCTTTATTGCAGTGGTTCTCAACCTATGGGTCCCCAGGTGTTCTGGCCAATAACTCCCAGAAATCCCAGCCAGTTTATCAGCAGTTAGGATTTCTGGGAGTTCAAGGCCAAAACAAATGGGGACCCACAGATTGAAAACCACTGCTTTATTGGGAGGTGATAGCTGGCCCTGATTGATCCTTGTCTGGAATTCCCCTGCTTTTTGAGTGTTCCTCTTTATTTACTGTCCTGGTTTTAGGGTTTTTAATACTGGTAGCCAGATTTTGTTCATTTTCATGGTTTCCTCCTTTCTGTTGAAATTGTCCACAAGCAATTGATTTAGGGTAGAATTTTAGCATACATATTAATTATACATATCATGGAAGGAAAAAGGAAGAGGGGGCGACCAAGGGCAAGATGGATGGATGACATCCTTGAAGTGACTGGCTTGACTCTGAAGGAGCTGGGGGAGGTGACGGCTGACAGGGAGCTCTGGCGTGGGCTCGTCCATGAGGTCATGAAGAGTCAGAAACGACTGAACGAATGAACAACAATTATTTATTAATTATAATTGCAGCATCCTTAAATTAATTAAGAAATAGTACTAAAGAGCCAACAACATTTCTATCTCCTATCTGGTTCTTTACCTTGGAATTTGTTTTTCAAAATCACTGTGGAATTGGAAAATTTATACCAGAAGATCTCCTCCTCCCTGCAGTCATTACTCTAGCTCGCAAAGACATTTTTATTTAAATTGTTCTTTTGGCCATAATTTGGTTAATGCAGAATGGACTTTTAATGGTGAGTGGCACACTCCTGCTGCTTTTGTTATATTTCGAATGCATTAAATTGTTGAAATTTGGCATTTGTTTGAAATGTGTCGACTTCTTTTTTTTCATTCTTCATGTAAGTGGTGGATGGATTTCAGCTGTACTCTGTTTTAATTCATGCTGTAAATCAAATTTGGAGAAAGGATAGATTTTAAACAAACCAAAAAATAATAAAACAAGACCTAAACCACTGGTTTTAGTTCATAGTTTGAGTATGAGGGCTTGGTTAACACCAAAAATAAAAGACTTTAGACTAGGGTTTGCAGCCCTCCAAAGATCACTGGGCTATAACAGTGATGGCAGTTAGTTTTATCTACTGTTGTTTTAAAATTGTATTGTTTTGATATTAACATGTGTTGATGGGGGGTGTTGTTGTTTTTACAATTTTATGTGACTTGTTTTATACTTTTGTACTGTTTTTACCGGTTGTATGTTATATGTGCACCCTGAAGTGCTTTGCAAGCCATCCCGAGTGAGTCCCTTTGGGGGAGATGGTGGTAGGATAATAATAATAATAATAATAATAATAATAATAATAATAATAATAATAATAATACTCTTTGCCATTGCCTATCCTGGCAGGACTGATGAGAACTGCAGAATAAGTTTAGACGTTTGGAAGAAAAGATGGATTTCTTTGTATCTACATGTACAATGTTCTAAAGGTACCTTGTGTGTCCCAGGAAACTAAATTCTGAAACTCTTTATCCTGAGGTTTTTGTTTGGATTGAATTTGGGTAGTGAAGGGGAAGTACAAAAGGCAAGGATAGAGAGTGTATGAGAAAGGATTTTTGGTGTGGTGATGAAAAAATTCTATGCAGCTCCTTTTTTTAAAGTCTAAAACATTCAAAACATGCCAGCACCTCCCATTTATATATTTTCACTATTTCATAGATTTAAAATGAAAAATGATCCATTGATATCTGCACAACCCTGACTCTGATATGCACATGGATCCCTGGATTGTATTTTGAAAGACCATGTGTATGCGGCCAGGATGCTTGAAGGACTGTAGAGCTCTGCAACCATCTGCAGTTGTTCTCATCTCTGTCCCACCGCCTTCTCAGGATCATTTGAAAGGAACAAGGCAGACACCTTCTTTGTGGATGCTCCCAGACATTAGAACTCACTCTCTAGGATGGGTGTCCAGGATGGCCCTGTCCTTGCTCTTCTACCATCAAATCAAAACGTTATTATGCAATTGGGCTTTTAAAAGCAACAGAACTACACTGAAAGGAAATGGAAAAGATGGTCTTTAATTTAACTATTCAAACAGGATGTATAGAGATCTTTACTCCAAGGCATACGTGACATATATGTATAAGGATCTATACTTGCTAAAGTTTACCTGGTAGAAAAAGACTTAGAGCTAAAAGTGTTTACAGGAGGGACAGTTTCTCTCCTCCACTCCACAGAATGAATGGCTGTGAACAAGCAAAGGACAGAGAAAGGGGCTGTTTAAGGCAAACAGACTGAGCTGGATTTAAACCCCACCTCTGCTATGGAATCACTGGGGGACTCTAGCAAACACTTCTTGTTCAGTCTTTGGTTCCCACTTGCAAGACAGAAATAAAAATTGCTGACTTTGCAGAGCTGATATAGGAGCACATTCAATGAAAACAGTACCTTTGCTGAGTAATTAAAAAAAATTATATGAATGATTCATAAGAGCCTATCTTATTAAAGGTTCTTATATTAATAAGGGAAGCTTATGCCTCTCTCTTCTGTGGTGGCCTCATTAAGGACTAACCTAACCAGTTCACAAGTGCCCATCATCCTATAACCACATCTGTGGCCCAAAGTCCAGACAGCCTTCCTGCAGTCAATGAAAACGGATTTCTCCCTGTTCCTATGGTTACCTTGGAGTGATTAAAGAATGGCGATACAACACTTAGCCTTTCCATCATTGTTTTTTATGAGTTCTATGTCGTTATTGATTCTGCTCTCTTTTTGAATTAACTTCAATGTCAAACACGTAAGAATGTCAGACCCCAAGAGTAACCCATCTGCATAATCAGCCTGTGCTTTCAGTCCCAATGCCACTGCTGGCAAAAAAGCATTAAGTGGGTGAAAGGGTTGAACCAAGGAAGGGAGGCAGAAGAGCAGGCAGGTGTTTTCAGAGGGTTGGGTGATGGATCAAACTCCACACTAGCCTGGTGACATCATCAGGTATGTGATGTGGTCTTCTTGAGTTCAGGAAAGCTTCTGAACTGTTTTCCAAGTCTGAAGAGGAACAGTCCAGTCATCGGAGTCCAGTTCTGAACTCAGCCAAGAGAATCCACCCATCATTATGATTATATGATCTGTTACCCACATAGCTCCACACAGCCATATTGGCCCATGTTTCTTGAACAGCAGTCTCTTGCACTCCACAGTAAATCATTTTTGCAAAGAAATTGTGCAGTTTTTTTAAAAAAAATCCTCTGTTGTTCATTCGTTCAGTCATCTCCGACTCTTCGTGTCCTCATGGACCAGCCCTCGCCAGAGCTCCCTGTCAGCTGTCACCACCCCCAGCTCCTTCAAGGTCAGCCAGTCACTTCAAGGATGCCATCCATCCATCTTGCCCTTGGTCGGCCCCTCTTCCTTTTGCCTTCCACTTTCCCCAGCATAATTGTCTTCTCTAGGCTTTGCTGTCTCCTCATGATGTGGCCAAAGTACTTCATCTTTGCCTCTAGTATCCTTCCCTCCAATGAGCAGTCGGGCTTTATTTCCTGGAGTATGGACTGGTTGGATCTTCTCGCAGTCCAAGGCACTCTCAGAACTTTCCTCCAACACCACAGTTCAAAAGCATCAATCTTCCTTCGCTCAGCCTTCCTTAAGGTCCAGCTCTCACATCCGTAGGTTACTACAGGGAATACCATGGCTTTGACTAGGTGGATCTTTGTTGCCAGTGTGATGTCTCTACTCTTTACTATTTTATCGAGACTGGACATTGCTCTCCTCCCAAGAAGTAAGCGTCTTCTGATTTCCTGGCCACAGTCTGCATCTGCAGTAATCTTTGCACCTAGAAATACAAAGTCTGTCACAGTCTCCACATTTTCTCCCTCTATTTCCCAGTTGTCAATCATTCTTGTTGCCATAATCTTGGTTTTTTTATGTTTAGCTGCAACCCAGCTTTTGCGCTTTCTTCTTTCACCTTGATTAGAAGGCTCCTTCAGCTCCTCCTCGCTTTCGGCCATCAGAGTGGTGTCATCTGCATATCTGAGGTTGTTAATGTTTCTTCCAGCAATTTTCACCCCAGCTTTGCATTCATCAAGCCCAGCACATCGCATGATGTGTTCTGCATACAAGTTAAAAAGGTTGGGTGAGAGTATGCAGCCTTGCCGTACGCCTTTCCCAATCTTGAACCAGTCTGTTGTTCCGTGGTCAGTTCTGACTGTTGCTACTTGGTCCTTGTACAGATTCCTCAGGAGAGAGACAAGGTGGCTTGGTATGCCCATCCCACCAAGAACTTCCCACAATTTATTATGATCCACACAGTCAAAGGCTTTAGAATAGTCAATGAAGCAGAAGTAGATGTTTTTCTGAAACTCCCTGCCTTTCTCCATTATCCAGTGGATATTGGCAATCTGGTCTCTCATTCCTCTGTCGTTTCTAAACCCAGCTTGAACATCTGGCAACTCTCGTTCCATGTATTGCTGGAGTCTTCCTTGCAGGATCTTGATCATTACCTTACTGGCATGAGAAATAAGGGCCACTGTACGGAAGTTGGAGCAGTCTTTCGCATCCTCTAGTGGAGATAAAATCCTCCAGTGGAGATAAAAATGGAAAAGGTCTGATCTCTATCATTGTTTTTGTTAGTAATGGCATTTTTCCAAAGAAAAATATTACATTTTTATAGGAGAAAAATTTGTGGCCCATTAAACTGAAAGTAATTGTTAATGACAAAGAAATGATTGAACAACTGCTGGTGATATATGTTCTCAGCCAAGAAAAAATAATCTGTTTTGCACTATAACTTGCAGCATACCACAGCTGTGGCCACAGATCCTGCCACTTAGGGGGTTCTGGAGCTGTAATACAAAAAGTAACTTTTCAAGCTCTGTTTCCAGTATATCTCTAAATGCTCACCTCATCACATGGAGCTATCCGGTGGATAATATCTTTCAAGCACCCAATCATTTTTTCTTCCTGAAAATCATATGGAAATGTTTCTGTCCATTCTGTCAACAGCTGCAGAATTTTGGGCCCAAATTTCCTGATCCGTGCCTAAAATTGAAAGATAAAACATTAATGAATGGCTATTAGGAAGTACAGTGATAATAAGATTCATTGGGTTTAACATTGACAAGAATGTTCTGTGGCTGCACTTGCATCCCACTGACAAGACCCATGTTTACACTTTCAACACTAATGGATGTTGTTTACAATTTATACTGGGATTACGATACATTCCTGGACTCACAATGTAAATTGAGACTGATGTAAATGGGGATACAAGTTCCATAGGGAAACACTGTAAGTCAGATTAAACAATTCTGACAGAGCAGAAGTAGTCACAAAATTTGCAGTTTTATTCAATATGTCAACAAATTCAAACAGGTCTAAAGCACACAAAAATAGAGTTTAACTCTCAAGTTAGAGAATGCCCTTCTCTTCCACATAGTAATATGGTAAGATTAAAGTTTGACAGATCAAAAGACAACCTGGCAGAATGACAATACCAAGAAGACCAATAAATCAGCACCTGTATGCTTGCCCACAATGCCCTGCCTCATGCACAAAGGAAGAACTGTTTAAAGCTAAAGACAATGTGGTTGCTGTTGCCCGTTTTTGGTCTAAAATTATTTAGCCACTTGTGTTGCCTTTTTATCAGTTTTGTATTAATTTATTTATGCAATGCTTTTGACATGAAATCAAAAAAAGAATTAAAGTTGGGACAACTCAATGAAAACTTGCCTAAATTCACAAAATTGTTTGTAGTTGAAGATACATTCATTCTCAAAATACACATTTGGGAATATATTTTTCCTCAAAAGATGCACTTTAAAATATTAATGCCTTGAAGCATCCTGATGTCAAACGTTCCTGGTGCTTAGATGTGCACTTCCCTATTTTTACAGCTATATTTTGTTCTGAAAATATTTATTTTCTAACTTAAGAACTGCCATACTGTTTACTCCCACCGCTCCTGCAGCCCTTTCTGCACTTCTAATATTTGTGGGTCAGATTGCTTTCACTATATATTATTCCAGGATGTGTGAGTTTCTAAATGTTGGAGTAATGTAAGCAAGCTATTTTAAAACAGCACGTACGCTCATTATATTAATAGAAACCCTGGATGAGAACTGAGAGCTTCCTTGCTTTAGCCTAAAGAAGAAAGTCACCCTTTAATCAAGCAAAATTATATTGTGTGTACTGAAGCTTCCTGCTTTCTTCCACAAATGGTTATTTTAGCATTTGCTCCAAACAGGTTTCAAGGCAATGCAACTATTTTAGAAAAAGCTATAATATAGTAGCATTGCCTTAAAATCTGCTGGGACCCTCTGTTTGGTCAGTGAAAAGGAGATAAGTCTTTATACCAGACTTTTTTCTGTGCTCATACACAAAGGATCATTCAGTGCCACTAAAGGCAAGTCCTTGCTTTGTGGGGAGAGGCACTGAGGGTGCATCTTATGTATGGTCAGCTCTCCACATTCCCCAGGGTTAGGGGTGCAGGATGACCACAGAAGTGGCAAAACAGTGAATTAAATAAACATTATTTTTTTCACCTGAGAGAATATGTCTCCAGAAATGTCTAACATGGGCAACAGTGGGGGGATTCTTCAGGCATTGCAATGAATCCATGGGGTAGTGGGGGAATCTGTTGGCCAGCACCTGCATCACCTGCAGCACTGTCTTCTCCATCACACGGGGGAAAGTGTTGCTGCCCGGTTTCTCAATGAACTGTCCCTACTGCTAGCAACAAGAACACGGGAAGTCTCCAGTGTTCTCCTTGCTCTGCTGTAGGATGCTGACAGCACAGTTTGGGGATGGAGCCCTGTCAGAAGTAGCTGTGCATTGTGTGAAGGGATCTCGTGTGCTCTGCCCAGGAACTGTACACTCAATGTCCTACGACAGGTCTGAAAGTCTGTGTGATGAAGTCATAGGTCTTCCAGTGCAACTATGTGGTCACCGCTGCCAGAGGAATGCTGAAGGACCTACAAATGTCTAGAGAAGTGTTTTTTCTAGGAATCTCTAATTCAGTGATTTTCAACCTGTGGGTCCCCAGGTGTTTTGGCCTGCAACTCCTAGAAATCCCAGCCAGTTTACCAGCTGATAGGATTTCTGGGAGTTGAAAGCCAAAAACTCTGGGGACTCACAGGTTGAGTCCCCAGATACCAGATACCATATACTCTATGGTATATGGTAATCATAGAATCGTGACTGAGGACCTAGGGATTATTAGAAAAAATATATTAAAATACATTAATAATCTATAAAAGACAAACCTGCAAATGTGGAGGATCGGCAATACCATTGCTTTCTCCTCTCCTTAACATTAGGTCCAAAAGCCCCATCACACCACCAATTATGGTGCCATGATTCCAGTTTAACTGCATTATATGATATCCTGGGATTTGCAGTTTGGTGAGATACCACAGAGCTCTCACACAGAATCCTAAATGCCTCTCCCTCAAGTGCAAATCCCAGGATTTTATAGGATATTGCCATGGAGGATTAAGTGGAACCATACTGCTATAGTTATCTACTGTAAATAGATAGCAGTTGGTAGAGACATACAACTGCTTGCCTGATGCCCCTTGATCACACACTAAACAAGAGCTTTCAAGACTTAAGTATAAAATATATTTAAAATACAGTTGTGCCTCTCTTCCTTTTTTTTAACCTACATAAAATGGGAAATTGACAGGAAGGGAAGAAGAAGGAATCAGGCAGCATATTTGGGACTAACTAGTGTATTTTAGCATGAACATTCATGGATATCAATCCAATTCTTCAGATGCACTGATGATGCTGACAGTACAGCCATGTCAGATCGACACTTTTATTTATTTATTTATTTATTTATTTATTTATTTATTCAAATGTATATGCCGCCACTCCCCTGGGGCTCGGAGCGGCTTGTGGGTAGTAGTCATAACTTAGAGCTTAATAGAATACAGAAAGATGCAAATTGTGGCCCAGGTCATAACATTTCGGGATGCTGTGTAAAATGATAAAGTTTAACTGTTCATTCACACTTTGAGGTGTGAAAGCAATGCAATTCTTTAGAAAGTAAATATCTGAAGCAGTGTTCATGTGATATTTAAGAATTACTTAAGCAATACCTGAGATAATGCCCAAGAAAAGTGAGAAAACAATACTAAGAAAATCCGGTTTCCTGAGCCTGGGAAAGTCTTCTAAGAAGCTGATTCTTCTGCAGCAAGTGATTTAGTACATGAGCAGTAGAGCTATTGTTATGAGCCATCAAGTTGACTTTGATTAAGAACATTTTGATTAATAGCAGGAACAAGGACCTAAATATTAATGTATGTAGTATGCCAAGAAATCATTGTTTCTCTTCATGCTTCTGTTGGTAGATGTGTTTTTATCTGGAGGCAGCCATGTAAACCTGTCTGGAATAGGACTACATTATATGGACAGGGAAAGTTTAAACCTTTCCCCATATTCCTGTTTTCCTAAAGTTATGCTTACACATACACCCACACATTGCATAGGAGCACAGTGGGCTAGACAAATAATGTTTACATATATCAATATAAAGTAGCTATATTAAAGTTGATGAGATAATATAGTGGATTGAGTGTCAGACTACAAGTCTGGAGCCCAGGGTTCAAATCCTCACTCAATCATGGAAGAAGCCCTTGGGTGACCTTGAGCAAGTCACACTCTCTCAGCCTCAAAGAAAGGCAATGGCAATCCTATGGAACAAACCTTGCCCAGAAAACCCCATGATAGGTTTGCCTTAAGGTTAATAAGCATTACATTCTGCTATGTAGAACTGACAGTGATAGCTTATTCTGAAAAGATCGGTTACAAACTCTACCTAAGGGGGAAAAGTAGACATATTGAGTCAAAGTGAGAAAGACAGTACTGCAGTGACATCTGCTCTTGACATTGCACAGTTTAAATCTTACCTCCTGGCACCCTGAAGGCTTCAACAAAGGCTGCAAGAAATGAAAAGGAAACCACCTGGGAAGAGTGAGACAGGCTGGAAAAGGAAGGTAAAAGGGGATCTGAAGTGACTGCTACATAGGATGCCTAAAGCTTTGCTCTTGGGCACGGACATTTTACTGGAATGCAAGCGTGTCACACATGACATGTCAACAAACTCCCTCGGGGATGGATGCACACAGACAGCAGGAAAGCAAAAAGGAAAATAGAGAGAGGGAGGAATCAGACATTTTTCCAGTCTATTCTGACAGCATCCTCTCTTTGCAAACAGTCTGCCACCTTTCCATTCCCTTTTCTCACAACTATTCTTGCCATCAAACCTACTAACCTTATCCAGCACTGGATCATCTAGTTGTTGCTGTTCAATGCACTTGTGACAAACTCGAGACAGAAGTTCATGAGGCTCAATGAAGAGTCTGGAGCTCAGTAGGAATGTAAAGATATAAGCCTTCTAGGAAAAGGAGAGACAAGCATATCTGGTGAGAACTGGGAAGGAAAATAACTTTTCAAGGGATGTCAAAAGCATGACTGTACAAGGAAGAAAGTCTTTTGTTACTTACATCTGAAATGGATTGAGTCATATAGACAAGACATCTAGTTTCAACATAATAATTAGTATGTATGGGGCACATGTTATATCAAGGCAAGAAGAGCATTGCTTGGTTTAACCTTTCTCGTATTGGCCAAAAGCAGAAGGCACTGTTGTTTCTGAGCAATTAGCATTCACAGGCACAGTGCCCTTGATCCTGGAGGAAGCCTACAGCTACCATGAATAGCAAAGCTATTGAGTCCCCCCAAGGGTGAGAAAGGTGGTATATAAATACTGTAAATAAATACAATAATAATAAAGCTTTAATATTACATTCTCTTGCAATTACACACTGTGTTGCTGAAGGCTTTCATGGCTGGAATCACTGGGTTGTTGTAGGTTTTTTGGACTATACGGCAATGTTCGGGAAGCATTCTCTCCTGACATTTCACCTGCATCTATGACAAGCATCCTCTGGCGAAACATCAGGAGAGAATGCTTCTAGAACACAGCTGTATAGCCGAAAAACCTACAACAACCCAATTACACACTGTTTGAAAAGAAACATTCTTAATTAATACACACATACATATAGATAGTTTGCAAAAGGCAATGTTCCAGTTCATCAAATGAAATAGTTACCTCAGGGTAGTAGTCTGCTGTAGGTATAAGATGTTGAATTAAGGCATCCAGAGATGCCGAGGTAAGGTTTCCGTCTTGAAAGATCAGCCCACCTTCATCGTCGTCTTTGGATGGATGGAGATGATGAGGGCTGAAGCCACAGGGAGTAAACATGCTGGCAGAGCTCAACGTTTGGGGCATGCCTTCCTGTAGCAAAAGGCAGAGAAAAGTCTTCATATGAGTTGGCAAGATTAGTCAGAGAGACAGCCAGAAACTGCAGCTTTGCCTGCTGACAACAAGCAAGGCTTAGGAAAAAAATGGTATCTGCAAAACCTCCCAGGATGCATTTAGAAGTCATCTGCCCTTTGTCATATCTGCTGAGAATTTGTTGCCTAAGCATAGAACACAGATTTGGTCATTAGGAAGGGATGCTTATCAAAGGTAGTGTAGTTCAGGCCTGTAGCCGGGGGGGGGGGGGGGGGTAGGGGCTCAACCCCCCCAGATTTTTTTTAAAAAAAACTGGTTTACTCATGAATTTTAACTGGTGAACCAAATCCCCATGCTAAGTCTATGAGATGCAAAAAATTAAGAGTCCCTCCAGAACTGCAAGCACTATCTCAAGCAAATATTGACAATTTATTCACACTGTCATTACTTGCAGCAATAGCCGATGTAGTGAAGCAACCAAGTTGGGGGGGGGGTGTTGAATGCTCTCATTAAGGAGGCCAGACTTGGTGGAGGTGGTTGACAGGGGCGGAGCTGCAGGCTATTGAAGGCTGCTCTGCCCCCTGCTGTGCTCTTTGCTTCAGCATGAGCTAGGAGGCAGGTTTCAACCCCCCCCCGAACTTTTCAACCCCCCCCCCCCCGATTTTTTTTTCTGGCTACGGCCCTAGTGTAGTCCACCTTTCCCTCCTTATGCCTTTCCTCAAAATTTATAATTTGTTTAAAAGGCCATTTTAAAAGCCCAACTCCTTCTTGTGTTACTGATCTAACTGCAGACATTGTATCAGGTAAAGTATTCCAGCACAAAGGTGTATGGCAGGCATGTACGGGGGGGGGGGGGGGGGGGGAGTCTGAGTGAAAGAGGGTCTACCCTAGCAAACCTTTTGTATCATTACCCCAATACCCCCATGCATATGGGATATATTGAGTATGGTGATCAGATCATGATATGAATAAAAATAACAGTTTAAATAATGCACCAGTAAGGCCTTCCCCCCCCCCGAAATTCTCCTGGTGGTTCGCGAAAAGGCCTTACTGGTGCATTATTTAAACTGTTATGTTTATTCATATCATGATCTGATCACCATACTCAATATATCCCATATGCATGGGGTATTGGGGTAATGATACAAAAGGTTTGCTAGGCTAGACCCTCTTTCACTCAGACTCAGCCCCCCCCGAAACTCAGCCCCCCCCCGAAACCCCCCCTGAAAAAAATTCACCACCCCCCCGAAACGAAATCCTGGCTACGGGCCTGGTGTATGGAGTTTGCAGGTGAGGGTACATTGTGCATCTGGCCAGTAACTTCTCCTTCTCTATTGATTATGTTCTTGCCTGCTTTCTTTTGTATTTTGTGGAACAATAACATGCAATTATTAAATACTATTTTGGGGCCCTTGCAATCCAAAAAACAGATCCTCCCACTACCATGGGCCTGTACAAAAGGAATTATTTAGAGTCTTATGAGAAGGTACAATCTCTTCAGCAACTTATCACCTCTCCTGACTATATCCTGCAATGATTTCTATTATGTATTATTCAACAACAGGAAAAATGGTAAGTCGGAGCTGTAATGAATCTCTTTGTATTTATTGTGTTACACAATGCAAAAGATTTCCTCAGACCCATCCCCAATTTCTCTCTCCCCCACATTTCTTTCCCCCCTCCCCACTCCCTTTCTCTATACATATATACCTTTTCATTCTGTTTTTGTCATCCCTCCCTTCTCCTTCTTACTCAAACTCTCAAATTATATAGATAAGTAAAGATGGATCCAGGGAGGAATGGGCATATTAGATATTTGATTATTAGAGTTGCATTTGGGATCCCTGGCTCCTGCATGCAAAACCTGTGCTTTACTACTGATATTTGTAGACCAAATAATTTCAAAAGCCAGAAACAGACCTTCTGAAGGAACTTATAATGAAATGTTTTCCCCAAAGATCTACAATGCCAACTTGTTTTTCTCTATATAGGTCATGACCTGGCCCAACACAAACATTTCAGTCGGTTAATTGGCAATGACTTAGTAGATTAAATACTTCAATTACAGTATGTAACACATTTTTGTTCCTTAGTTATAAATGTCACTGCCTAATTAGTTCTACCATAAAAACATGGGAAAAGTTTATTAAATTGCAAAAACTTTGCTATTGCGGGACATCCTGCAGCATATTTTGCTATAGTTTTTCAGTGAATATAAGACAAGTCTCAACCAATTCAACATAGTTTGTGGCAGCCACAAAAATGAAGTTTCTGGAGTATAACAACTACTTTCAAAGTAATTGAAAGTTACAGGAATAACACTTTCAAACCAGTAACATATTTTTTTTCAAATTTTGTTACATAGCTTTATTAGCATTTATGGCAGGGGTCCACAAACTTTTTAAACAAAGGGCCAGGAAGCAGTCCCTCAAACTGTTGGAGGGCCGGATTATAATTTGAAAAAAAAATATGAATGAAGTCCTATGCATGTTGCACATATGTTATTTGTAGCATAAAAAACACTTAAAAACAATACAATAATTAAAATGAGGAACAATGTTAACAAATAACAACTTATTAGTATTTCAATGGGAAATGTGGGCCTGCTTTTGGCTGATGAGATAGGATTGTTGTTGTTGTTGTTATTTGCTTTCAAGTCGTTTCAGACTTAGGTTGACCCTGAACGAGGGCCGGGAAAATGACCTTGGAGGGCCGCATCCGGCGCCCAGGCCTTAGTTTGAGGACCCCTGATTTATGGTAATGATTCAAATCTCAATTTCTAACATTATCAGTTTTTTCAAACCAAATATTCCAATATTCCTCGTTCAAGATCTGTACCAAAAGCTGAGGCACCAAAGCACAAAAATGCCATTTCCTTTGTGCCCTGCATCTGAGAAACAAATGTGAGCCCACTCTGGGAACAAAATGCTGGTGCAGGCAAGACCTGAGGCATTGCTCTGTTTTTTGATCTTAGGAGAATGACAACAAATAAATTATCATTGAGAAAAGTACAGTATTAGCTCCCCTTTCCCTAACAGAGACGTTAATCATAGGGTATAAAGGGAAATCTGTTTTTATGTATTCCTTCCATGTAGTTCTTCCCACTTTGCACACATGTATTGGAATGACATGCAATTCCTAATCAAGAGTTTGGAAAAATTACTTTTTGAGGCTACAATTACTAGAATCCCCCATCTGACATGGTGACCATGTGGCTGGTGAATTCTAGGAGCTGTAATCCAAAAAAGGACTTTTCAAAGCACTGAAAATCAACATGATGGTTGAGGTCATGAATCAGCCATGATACTATCCATCTCTGATCTGACCCCTATCTCAATATCCAGTCAGCTGCACCAAAGGATGGAGTTCTGCAGTGCTGGTGAGTAGGGTGCTAGAGAATGATGGATCCATTTCTCTCACATTAACAAGCAGCACTGCAATGATATAGGGACATCTATGGGGTCCTTTAGTACCACCACCCACTGATGGGAGTGGGCTGGCCATGTCAACCTTCAGTGCCCCTACTCATAAGTATCACAGAACATTGATCCTCTGTGGGTTTTCATTTTGTGGTGGCTTTGGAGGACATTTATGATTGTGTCAATCTAGTTTATGACATTGTAGCTGCATAACAGATTGCTAGACATTATTCATTTGCAACAGATTATGCAACAGAACTGCAGTTCTGCAGTACAATGATAGCATTTAGTAAAAAGGCACTGGTCTGGCATTCCCTTAGATTTGGCTTAACTTTGCAGGGTCAGAGCATACTATTTAGACCCCGAACAAAGGGTGGCTCTAAGGAGCAAGATTATATCATTTGGGCTTGTCTGAGGACATTCTGAGTGCTCTGAACCCAAAAAAATGTGAGAGTTTAGACTCCACCAAGAAAATTCCTATTACTTTATTACTCAATGAGAAAAGCACTGCTGAAAATATATGCAGTTTGGTCTGTAATATTCTCCCCTTCAACCCCCCTACAGTCAAATAAGCAAGCAAAGAATGCAAAGCTACAATAATAAATATTGCCAGCATTGCTTTCCTCGTGAATCATCATACACAAAAAACGAAAAGGAACAGTTTTTATGTTGATTGAAAATCAAGATAGACTACACCGGCAGGCATGGACAAACTTTACCCCTCCAGATGTTTTGGACTTCAACTCTCACAATTCCTAACAGCTGGTGAGATGGCTGGGATTTCTGGGAGTTGAAATCCAAAACACCTGAAGGGCCAAAGTTTGGCCATGCCTACCGGTAGACTGGCTATCAATTTCAAAGAACATAATGCTTATTAAAGATAACTGAACTGAACAAAGATACAAGTGGTAAGTAGTTTGAGTGTCCTTATTCATAAGGATTTTTACAATTGTATATAACTGTAGCTTTTTGTATTCAATTTGGTGACTCAAATGGATTTAAAACTGATAAACATAGCACAATTTCATTTCTTATGTTCAATAATCGCCACCACCTTGATATTTTGTTTATATAGCAGTAATCCCTTGATTATATAATAGAATCTAATATTTATTTATTTATTTATTTATTTGCAGCATTTTTATCCCGCTCTTTTCAGCCCGAAGGCAATTCAGGGTGGCGTACAGATTAGCAACAATTAGATGCCATAAACATACATACATACATACATACATACATATCAATTAAAAACATTTAATATCATATACTAAAAATCCATATAATTTAATTTATATTTAATAAGAAAAGACCTCCTAAATATTGTCCATACTGATATACTTCAGACTTTTAATATTTTGTTTGAAAAACAGATAGAAATAACACATTCCTAGAAGCATACCTAGAATTATAGAACTGGAAGAGACCATAAGGGCTTCCCAGTCTAACCCTCTGCAATGCAGGAATACGCAATCAAAACACCCCTAACAGATGGCCATCCAGCCTATTACGTTTAAATCCCAGCTATGAATGCAACTGAAATTTTCCATGAAAGCCTTGGGAAACCATTTTCACTCAATTTCT